TCATCGTGCACCAGCTTCGCAAGCTTGCCTTCAAGATTGTGCACTCATCCACACTCTTATTGCCTGCGTGGAAGGCACTTCTACCAGAGCTGGAATTAGCGGTCCGTATCATGCCTCGCGACATATCGACGAGGTGGAATTCTACCTATGATATGCTGGACTTTGCGGTGGAGTACCGGCAGGCACTTGACAACTTCACTGGCGACCGCAAGTTCGGGTTGCGGGACTTCGAGCTCAGTGAACGAGAGTGGACAATAGCTAGACAGTTGCGCAATATTTTAGAGGTGAGTTGTGCAGTCTTCGGTTTGAGTTTACTCACGCCAGGCACAGATCTTGAAAGATGCCACAACATACTTTTCACGCTCAACACCAAATCTCGCTACCGTTATTCCAGCCATCAATCACATTGATGAGTCACTCACAACTCACTCTTTTGACAAGCATTTGAATAGCGCCATTCGCGCTTCTCTTGCAGTGGGCAAGAAGACATTAGATAGGTACTATTCACTTACTGACACGTCTCAGACATACCGTATCGCAATGGGTATGTCTCTGTTTTGTTTTATATTCAATTCTATACTAACAATACATTTTGAAGTGCTTCATCCCCGGCACAAACTCACCTACTTCAAGAACGCTGGATGGGAGCAGGACTGGATCCAGACAGCCTCCAACCTCGTGCGCGAGGAGTTCGACTTCTCGTATGCTGATATGCCCATCGATCCACTCAATGAAGAGTCCAAAGGTGATGACCATGGATCGCAGCTTCGAAAGGTAAGTTAATTGACTAGTATGCTTTAGCGCTGACCGGATATGATTTTACAGGCATCAAAAAAAGACAATATATTCGATCAATTACCTGCTCTTGCAGCTCCGAAGCGCACAGTCACTGACGAGCTCGCATCATACCTTGCCACCGAGTGCGAGCACGTCCCAAATGTGATTACATGGTGGCATGAGCACCGAAAAACATATCCACGTCTCTCCCGCATGGCGCTCGACTATCTAACAATTCCCGGTACGTTCAACTAACTTCTTGCTTATGCCCCGCACTTAAATACTAACACTATCAACTCAGCTACGTCTGTCGACGTTGAACGTATTTTCAGCCGAGGACGTCTTCTGCTATCTCACGTTCGGAGCCAGCTATCTTCACAAACCATTTGAGCCTTATTGTGCGTCGGCATTTGGAGCAAGCTGGGATTGGTACACGACAATGATGTGAAAGCTGTTGCTGTGCTAGAGGATGTCGAGGGTGAGGAATTGAAGCTGCTTGATGGCTGGGATGCCATTAAGATTTAGTTAGTATATTGTTTGTACCTACTACAGTGTCTATTCGAGTTTCTATTCGAGTTGCAATGCATGGGTCATGGGTTACCCGCCATGGGTTATATACCCATGATACCCACATGTACCCTTGTCGAAACCCGTACCCGAGCTGACCCTTGGGCCATGGGTACGGGTAAGCGGTGGGTATGGGTCCGGGTAAGCTCATGGATACCCACGGGTTACCCATGCCATTGCCTACGTGTAGCTAATAGATCCATCCCCACGAACTTGATACTGAGTATGCTGACAATGCTGAATCCCTGACGGCTTGGAAGTGTGCAAGTAGGAATTCAGCTTGGGATTCTTCTTCCGCTTCTTGTTCGGCCGCAAGGCATGTAGAGTTCGTGATAGTTCTTCAGTGCAATGGATCACCTGGGATGATGTTGCCCCCGCAGAGGGCAAAGCAGCACTAGCAGAGACACTCATGCTCGCGAAACGCACCAAGTACCACCCAGCGACAAACTCATCAGCTGTGAAATCATTAGTAAGCGATCTGACATTGATCTTCCACTTACCTAGATTCTTGGATGACAGTGGCAGTACCTTTGCCATTCGTGTGCATGAAGCGCCGTGAACGGCTGTCAGTTTTGGTAAACAATGCGGCAGGAAATTCCTCTACCATGTATGCATACAGTTGTGAAAGTCGCTTATGTAATAATCATAAACCGTCATACAGCACTGTACCTGATCATATTCCTTCTTGCTAATGGTCAACGATGCATCCAACGGCTCGTGCATAAAAGGTCATCTAAGTTGGAGACTCGTGAGTTCATTCGTCTCTTCTTTGTCCTTACTGATTTTCATGGCGAATCACAACCGTCTGGACCGTGAAGGTCAAATTATCCTTGGTACATTGTTTCGTCATTGATCATTGATTCTCACTCATTATTGGCAGATGCTATAATACAGCTTTTATCCTCGTTGACGCTCTCCCCGGACGACGCTCACAATCTCATTCGAGTTGTTGTCGACAGTACCGAGTTACAGTCACCTTCCACTTTGGAGACTCCTCAGCCCCCTGCTCCTCACCCCACTACCCAGATTCATCTTGCGACCTCTCCCATTGTAACTCCAGCTTCCACTTCGCATACTCCAGTTCCCACTGCGCAGACTAAATCTCCCACCCCCCTTGTTGTGCAGACTCTTCAGCCTCCTGTGTCCCTCCCGGTTCCGTCTTCATCCATCCTCCCAACAACCACAACAACCTTCAACGGGGAGGAAAGGCGTCAGCAGCAATACAATGGCTTCACCTTTGATATTCCATCTGCTGATGCAAATGGACCATTCTACCTTGTCAACCGAGGTCGCCGTGTTGGCGTTTTTGATACATGGTGCGGTTTTTTCCTCACTCTAATTCCAGTATCTGATATTGAATCACAGGCCACGCACTTCCCCCCATGTGATTGGGGTGAAAACATCTTCGTATAGTCATGCGCGGTCCTTGGATGATGGGATTTCGCATATCATGGATGCCATAGACCTAGGAGAAGCAGTATGGCTTCCTTGAAGGGAAGATAGGCGACTCTTGATTCACATAGTTCGAATACAATTTTTGTAGTGAGGATCCGTACAATATAATGAGGATCTGTTGACTCCTCGTGGCAATTACTCTGTGAATAAATGTAGATAATGCGCGAGGCGCGGAATACGTCTAAGTCAAGTGGGAAAGTGAAGTGCTAGCATGTCCTGAAGGAGGAATGCGTAATCTACAACGAGACAGATGTATATAGACTCTACAACACAGCAAAATCAGGGGTCTTCTGATAGAGCAGCTCACCTCGCGCATGATGGTAAAAGAGAGAATGTATATCATCCATAGCGTGCATGAGAACATCCTCCAGCGCTTTGTTGACATCATCTACCCTTCCAGCAGTAAGCTCAACCTGATGCAGCTCCTTCCCCACACCAAGGCATTGCAAAGTTGCGCAATGGCATTCCTGAACCTGTTGTCGGAGTTCCTCTACTTTTACCAGCAAAGTCGTGATAGCCTGGATGCAAGACTCAATGTCTGTGCTCGCTTTGAAATTGTGGACTAAGTTGTTGAAAAGCTCAGTCGAGGAGCCGTTCATGAGGCGGTTGAGTGCAGCATCTACATTTGCTAGAGTCCCACTTGTAAAATAAGTAGTTAGTTCGAGGTAACAAAACGCTCTGGGATAGACTCACCTCCTGCCCGCGCATAATTTAACACGTCATTTAGGAATTTTCTGAGAGTCCACATTGACGCTGCAATGACATGAAAGTGAATCAGACATTTGTGAAAGAAGATTAAGCTCACTGTTGTTGTGCTCGGAGTCGATACCTTGCTTTGTCCTTCAAACTGATGATAGCGTAATTCCTACACATTATAGTTAGTATTAGAATCTGCGTTGCTGTGTATACAACTCACCGGTCATAATATTTTTTGCGGGATCATCTTGCTGCCTCCGTTTTCTCTTCAGGAGTCCAGTGCAATCGAGGGCGAGTCATAGTGTGGTTATGAAGTAAGTGTGGGAGGTTAACAAATCGAAGCTCGCAATGAGCCGGGAGTTCGTATGGTAGGTAATTTACACGAGAATTATAATATAACATGTCTCCATAACCTACAGATGACTGATTGTAAAATAAAATATAGCGAGCGTATGTATGGGTACTGTAGGCATCATTTGGTGAATGTGTGACTGCTATATTAAAGTAAGAACATGTCTAGCGAACATATTTTGAGGAATTTACACGAGATTTATAACATAAGATGTCACTGTAGCCTACAGACAATTGAATTGTGAAGTTGAACATGGTGCAGCGTGTGTATGGATACTGTAGGCATCATTGGTGAATATTTGACTATCAAATTAACCTTGAGGGAATGTCTAGCGAACATATTTTTGTCGCGACACCTTGATCTACTACTGCACGCCAATCAGTAGCAAGACTCCTATTAAACAAATTCACAAAGTTTTCCTCAACATCCGGAGTGCATATTTGCTTGCCATTATCAAAACCAGGTAGTACATAGTGTATATATCTCTATGTACATATGTATACTTTTGCCGATATAAGAGACGGTGCCAGTAGCATGCAAGACCTAGGTGGAGGTCTAGAATTATGGCGCGGATACTTCCGGTAAGCTCAATCTAGGTGGAGGTCTAGAATTATGGCGCGGATACTTCCAGTAAGCTCAATCTAGGTGGAGGTCTAGAATTATGGCGCGGATACTTCCAGTAAGCTCAATCTCTCCCGGTATACAGCTCAATTCTAGGTGGAGGTCTAGAATTATGGCGCGGATACTTCCAGTAAGCTCAATCTCTCCCATATTCATGATGCTTCGACTCGGAGGACATTCTATTTGTAGGGCGCGATGTTTTGAGGGCAATCCAGCACTCCGCCGCGGAGTCCAAAAATAGCATATATCAGTCTCATCTCAGACGATCAGTACGTGCAAACACCCACTAAAATCTGCTGAGGTATGCGATCTATTTCTCTTCTATATTATGACTATGGCTAATGTTTACAGTCTGCGAAACATATTTGCAGGAGAGAGTTTCAATGAACGGCTGCCAAACGTTTCACACTGAGGTACATGACACTGAGGTACGCGAGCGGGTCCAGGCTAAGTATAAATTTCGCAGTCAGCAACACCCAAGCCGCCGGTACCAGAATGGTCAAGCGATCAACTGAAGTGGTTAGAGGACCAGATGGCCCTATACTCGTTAGCCTGCCAATACGACGACCTCTTGGAATTCTGGCCATCGTTGTTCAACATTTTTTTTGCTTGTTGGCCGATCATTCCAGAGTCCGAGGTCCTCACCACTGAGCAGCAACACTCCCTTTTTCAGGCGGAAGAACAGCGCAAACTCGTAAGTATTTTTATATAAATTATTAAGATACATTGTAGCTCTGACTACTCGACTGCAGCGCATTAAAGCTTGGTTCGAACAAAAGAAGACCAACTCTATGGTACCACTTACCATAACGTCTGTGTCTGCAGATGGCCAGATGGTCTTGCATTTTGAGGAGCCGTTCGAGGAAGCGTTCAACCGTACTTTGAACGTTCAACTGTAGTTGGAGGACAGCGAGGCAGATAGCAACAAAGAAGCGTAGTATATTTAGAAGTACCAGAGCCGCCAAATTAAACTTTGTTTGATACCTAACTCTATAAACGAAGTCTCTGCGTTTGATTCTCGAGCCTCGAGTGCGCTCAAGGCAACAAATGAAAAAGTTTGACCAGCACACGTGAAATCGCGAGTGTTGTTCTGAGGTACATAAGGCTTTTTTCTTTTATTTTCATACATTACATTCAGCACGCTACGTGATACGTGACCTAATTCAATAATTAACAGTACGACATGCCGACATTTCATCATGCTGCTCTGTGGACTGACATGGTACTTACAGATGCCGGCAGCAAAGTGGACCACCGATGAACAGTATGTCTGGCTTCAAGATCGGTTAGCGACGTATATGGTCCACACGAAGGAAAAGGATTACTCACGTTTCTGGGCTCCGTGTTGTATAGCCTGGTTCGCGCAGTTCCCAGAACATGCGGTGGTCTATCCTGACATCCCCAAGGATGTTGAGCTTACCTGCAAGCAGCAAAAGGTCGTTGAGCTCGCAGAGGAGGCGCGTGAGGCGGTAAGCTCTTTGGCGTGTTACCTATGCTGCGTTCTCACAATCAGTACCTATCCACAACAGCAACTACACACCTGGTTTCGCTGGCGTGTCAATAAATCTAAGAAGAACCGCAGCCTAAAGAAGAAACTAACGGTCTTTGACGATACTCTGCAGCTGAAGAGACGCGCGAAGTCAGAGGCTGAAATTTATTCAGAGTTGTATTATGACTAGCGTATCAAGCCCTTGGTGATGGCTGAGCAAGATGCCGGAAACGTGGCAACGTCCGGCAAGCGCGTGGCCCTTGGTCGAAAATTCTCGAAGGAGTTACTGGAAGATGAGACTGAAGAGATCAAGGCAGAGATTCGTGAAAAGTATGAGGAACAACTCACTCACAAGAAGCGCGCCAAGCGTGAGAAGAACATTCTTGACGATGACGCCGACGACAACGACAATGAAGAGTTAGATGCGGAGGCAATCATGCAGTACGTGTGATTCAGTTCTATCAGTGTATTCAATACTAATGCCATTCAAATTTTACAGAGGTATAGATGACTTACCTGTCATTTGTCGACGCTTCGCGAAGCTTGTCAAGCAGAAGACTCGCTTCATGGTCTCGTTTATGTTTGCTGGTCCTGATCCTAGAAATGACTGGGACATGACGACATTATCGTAAGGTGCGAGGATTTGTCAGCTTGTACTGCCACTCACGCAGAGAAGGTGTCATCCTTCAGAAACACCTCAAGGCGATTCCTTTGCCGAGCTATACCAGACGGCTGATAGCGACTTCTTGGCAGCCTTCCAGCAGTATGCAGAACAAATATTTCGTAAGTCTTCTTATCTCGCATTAATAGTGGCAACACTCACTGAAAGTGCGTGCAGCTGGCAACAAGCGGAAGCCCGACAACAAGGCTGAAAGCAGTGAGATTGGAGGCATTGCTGAGGAAGAGTCTGAGGAGCGTGAAGAGGATGGGGAGGAGTGCGAAGAGGATGGGGACAAAGACGAGGAAGGTGAAGAAGATGAGCCCAATGCGCAGTCTACAGACGTCGAGGAAGAATCTCAGCTAAATGTGGATGAGGGCGAGGCGAATCAGTACATGGAGTCTGGTGAGTTGCCCAGTCTTTATATACCTTTAGACGAGCGGCTGATGCATCGGTCTGATGCATCAGCAGTCACTCTTCCCATCCCTGGTGCATCCTTAGGCGATGCATCTGATGCATCAAGTCTTGGGGGATCATCTGTGATGCACGCGTCGATGGAGATGACTGCCAGTTTACCGTCCGTAAGTGCTTCTTTGGTCTCAGCATCAACGCTCGCACCTGACTCTCGATATTTTAGTATGGCACGCCGTTCTATGGCATGTCAATGTATGACATGCAGCCTCAGCCCATGTACGGCGCCCATGCCATGTATGGTGGACAGGATCAAATGTATGGCACGCAAGGACCAACATATGACGCACAGGGCACCAGCCATGCTTTACTCGCTGGAAATTCCTGCCTCACTGGGTCTGATGTGTCGCTTCACTCTCAAGGAACCGCATTCCCACTACAGACGACTAACCACTTCGATTTCGGCATCCCTCCTTCTAATTTGTTCATGCCAGGCGCCGTCACCCCCGAGTTTTCGTTCGATCAGGGATTCCAGGCTGCAAATTGGAACAACCAGGCCTGGAGCGTGAACAACAACAATCGAGGCTGGAATTTCAGTTCTGCTGAACAAAGCAGCCTGCAGGACTCACTCAACTCACTTCCTGCTCTGCCTCCTCCTGCCAGTGAGCCCAATGAGGACTCGCGACCTGTTCTACCTTCTCCCAACCCGATCCTGAGTACGGACGATACTTCTCTCCCTTCCATCGGCAAGGCTCGCACGAGGACTGGCAGAAGGGTTGCCCAGAAGGCTACCAAAAAGGGAGACAGCCAGAAGCGTCCTAATACTAAGTCGACCAAACCCTCAGCTGAAACAGCAACACAGCCGTCTCCCATTGTGTGTGCCACCAAGAACAAGCAGCCGGCTAAATCCTCTTCCAAGAAGTTGTCTGTCGCTAAGCCATCGCCTGGTCAGGCTATACCCTCCATTGAAACGGTCGCTCAGCCCTCTGCCCCTTCTGCCCAGTGCACGACCAAAAAAAAGCAGCCACCTGCTGCTAAGCCGTTGGCTGATGAGTCTGCCGCTACCACAAGGGAGCCCTCACCCGGTCCTTCACCCAACCCTATTGTCAATGTAACTGGTGGTGCCTCCAGCTGTCATATCCCATACATGAGGCTTCTCGTCCGGTCCGGTCCGTCCGTTCTCTCGGGTCCATTCTAGAATTCATTTCCCCGTGTCCCCATTTGTATATGCTTCTTGATGCCCCTATACGCCCGGATCCTTCTGACAGTTAATATCCGGGTTCATTCTGATTGGTCCGTTAGTCTATTCATTCCCCTTTCATTTAACTTGTCCCCCCTGTTTCATTTAATATCCGGGTCCATTCTCAATCGTCCGCAGCAGTTCATATCCGTTAGCACATTTTCTACATAGCCCTCTGATCCGAAGACTGCGCTTCGGCCGGAAACCCGTCGGATACACTACAGTATATAAACCCTTTGTAACCCGTAGTATTTCCTCAGTTCGAATATTAACTTAGACTCTGTTCAATCCTCGTGTCCTCTCGGCTCTTGGGATTATTATCCTAGTCCGATCCTCCGAGCCTCGGGATTATATCCCTAAGGCTAAATACCTCCGTCTCTACCTTCGGGTAGTCTATACCTTGTTAGTTTCTACCCGGACGAAGTCTCGGGTAGTCTTCCCCCTTTCGTCCGGCCTGTCCATACCCCTCTCTCTCATCCGGCCCGTCTATACCCTTCGGTCGACGATATCTAACCCCCTGTAAATTAGGGGCACATACTCGGGTAAAGAGCGCAGCGCACGAGCTGAAGCTAAGCCCCTCCGGTCCGACCTGTTGGACACGGTCTTAACACCAGCGCTTCATCATCAGACAGCTTGATGAATGTCACTTTGGACACTGAAGTGCGCAGAAAGCGCGTGCCAATCAAATCTAGACGCAACGACCTTGCAGATGCTATTGGGACTAACGGTGTTTTGTTCTACGCTGGGAAGGAGAATTTATTGGAGGCCGAAGCACCTCGCTTGTTGAAGTGGCCTGCGCAAAGTGAGGCTTCCAGTGCTCCCAAGTATGTTTGATTTAGTTTTTGCGTACTTTGCCTCACACGCTGATGTATTTTAGGAAAAAGCGGACCAAGGCATGATTGGCTAGGCACTGCGTATTGATTCATTGTACAATAGCATCTTGATAGCATCCTTTGATAATTTGTATTGACCGCTGTGACTTAATGAGATCATCTTGACATAGACCAAACGACTTAGCGAATTTTGAGTGGAGAGATCACGTGATCTCTGTTGAACGTTTGAACTATGACACGTAGGCACTTAGTGAATGCAGGTAGTAGTAAGTATATATGTCACAGACGGCGCAAGTTTGAAAACAAATGAGTTTCTGTATTATGATGCCATATGTTCAATTATCACACTAATACAGGCTATCTACCGTATAGTAATAAATGGGCGATACATTCATTGGTAGCGGCAGGATTGCTAATGATACTGGTGGTAATATCGCATCGATGGTGCCAGGGGTGCATCAAGGAGCGGGCCATTGGAAGCGGCGGGATGGAAGCGGTGGGATGGAAATGGCAGGATGTGCGCAGCAGTACCCATTGGAAGTGGCGGGATGTGATATATATAGTACAAGGGCGCATTCATTGGTAGGGCATCAATGGTGGCCGTGGATGCATCAATGGTGGCGGGAATGCATCACAGAGTGGGATGCTGATAGGGTGGTATATATAGTTCAATGAGGTATCGGGGATGCATCAATATCAATGGCGGGGATGCATCAAGGAGCGGCAAGGGCGCATTTGGTAGGGCATCAATAGTGGCCATGGATGCATCAATGGTGGCGGGAATGCATCACAGAGTGGGGTGCTAATAGGGTGGTATATATAGTACAATGAGGTATTGGGGATGCATCAATATCAATGGCGGGATGCATCAATATTAATGGTGGGGATGCATCAAGGAGCGGGTTACCTGCAGCGCCTTGATTAGTAAGGCTAAGGTGATGTCATAATCCATCAGGAATGCATATTCACAATGATGCATTAACGATGCATCGATGCATGAAGATGCATTACAGATGCATTACAGATGCATTACAGATGCATCACAGTGATCCTAGGTGATGCATCTGCAATGCATCATAATGCACCATACATTAGCAGCGCTAGCACTGTAGGATGAATGCATCACTATAACCTTACAGTCTCAATGCTTTGTTGCATCAATATGACAGGGACACCTGAATCCATGGCTTTCAATCATGAATTGCTGTCGTACCGGCAAAATGCAGAATGGGGCATGTGAGGGCTTCAAGGTGCTTTTGGCAGGCTGCGGGTGCCACTCAATATATCCGACAAAGAAGCTCGTGGAGATCTGATCGAGATATGTGTGCGACTGCATAATCTGCGTGCGATGTGAGTAGGCATCAACCAAATATGTACCGTCTACATGCAACAGTGGCAGGCCACAGATGAAGATATTGAGGTTTGGCGGGATTTTGAGAATATGCTCTTTTCAGAGCAAAGGCAGAAGGATTGTGTCACGAGATTCCATGTAACATTAGAGTACGAGTAGATTAAACATACTTCAAATCTCCGTAGAAACCTCATGGTGCACTACACTAGTAGACTCGTCATCCGAAATGTCCTCCTTGGCCTTTCCAACACGTCTGCGGCCATCATTCAACAAGTGCTTCCTGGCCTCATATCCACGTGATGGCCCGCCAGAGGGGACATCATCATAAGGTTCGAACTCGTCATCAGTTATCCACCTTATTGATTGCCCACCATCTGGGTACCACTCTGACACCATAGTCTTCTCTTTGGGAAGGGGCGAATGCAGTCTTCGATGGCGGCCGGATACTTTCATGTCCAACATCTCCACACGCAACTCGGCCTTGTCACGAGCACGTTCAACATCGTACAGCCTCGCACGCAAGTCAAAGAGTTGGTTCCGAAGATTTTCATTGGTGGCCTGTGAGTCCCGCAGTTGCTGTGCCTGTGTCATAAGTTGGGTATTAGCGAGAGTGCGAGCTGCTCGTTCTTCGTCTCAGGCTTGCTGTGTGACTGGATCAAATGCACCCGATAGACGAGTCAGCAGCTCTGAAGCAGCGGCACCACGTGCATTGCAACGTGGGACAGGAGCATCGGTTCGAGTGGCCCTTGCAACTGCGACATGCTGTGGCTCATCTTGGCTAGACGAGTCCGTGTGACTGCCTGCATCTTGGTCGTCAAAATCCTCATCATTGAGATCACATGTCCCTGCTCGTTCGTTGATGAGCGAGTCGATATAGTGTGCTCGAGTGACATCAGGAGGGCAGACCCCATCCCCAGTGGGTTTGGTAGTTTTGACAAGCTACAGAGCGCCAGTGCATGAGTAAGACAGATCCAGAGTAAGATATAAGAAACTTACCTGTTTGAATTTAGTTTCGAGTGAATTGAGTTTGCGATCAGGACGACCACGAGCCTTTGACCACTCGGCGAATTTGGTGTGTATCACCTGCCAGCCTCGCTGACCGAGCGGGAGTTCATCTTCGACAAAGTTAAGAAGTGCTTTTACATCAGCTGACGTGTAGTTGTTGGAGCCAGAAGGCCGCCCGTGTTTGGCTCTGGCATCATTGTCGTCCTCCGTGATCTCACGAGGCCGTTTTACCTTTCCTTTACCTTTTGATGCTTGGACCTTGCGACGAGCGCCAGCAGTTTTCGTCACAGGGGTATACCCATGGGCCTCCGCAATGGACACGGGATCCACCAAGTCTTGATCAGTGCTCTCGGGCAGTGGGAGAAGAGCTGGATCAATGACTGGCTCACGTGCTGTGATGCGCGAACCATTTTGCATGTGAAGAGAGGAAGTGCGGTGTGGTGTGGCCGGAGTGAGGGATGCATGACCACCAAGGCCTTGGTGTGCAATTCGATCAGGTCTTGAGGTCTGCGACGAGGCCGTTACAGTCTGGTACATTGTTAGCATTGATTTCGTGGCATGCGAATACAAAGGACTCACTTGTGCAATACCAGGGTGAGGCTGCCAAGCACCGAGGTGGTCACGAGCATATGCATTACCTGCATCGTCATAGTGCAGGTCATAGTCAAGTCTCGAAGGTGGAATGTCAGACATTGGAAGAGATTAATAGACGAATACTACTGACCTTATGCTGTTCGAGATGTGGATTTTATATGTTTGGGAGCTGTAACCTGTCAAAGAAAAAGATTTAGACAGAAGATTTAAGTTCGCGACCGTAAATTGTGGTCGATCAGTAGTGCCTGCGCAGGTAGCAGCCTTTACACAGATGGAGAAAAACAAATTGCTTGAGGACACTCGAAAATTGGATGTTGTTAGTAGGACGGAGCTGCTGCCAATTTAGTGAGGTTAAAAACAGTGTCGGAGACTTGATGATTGGATGCTGCCAGGAGGACGGAGCCGCTGCCACTTTAGCGAGGGTTAAAAGTACAATGGCCCTGGCCCTTGTTGGTGTGACGAGTATCCAGTGTGCTCAGGCTATACTGCTTTCAGACATATAGAATGACAAGTGGCAGGTGTCAAAATGGTGAATGATAGGATCTGGCTGGCCAACGACACCATAACGAATGATGAACAACATTAATCGATCGACCGCACGGCACGATGAAAGAACGGCGTAGCTTATGTCAGCAGATATCGCAGGTGTGAGTAGTCCGAATATGGCAAAAACGTGATTTATTCTCGTCAGTAAAATCTGTAAGGGGGGGTACCCCCCCCTCTACAGAATCAAGTTTTATTCAGATTTATTCGAGGGTAGAAACCCTTATTGAATTTCAAATGATGTCCGGCATCGCGGCACACCTTCCTAAAGGATAAAATTATAATCCAACATATTTTATTCTGCATTATTCGAGCCTGCGGGAAGTCACCCAATGTGGGGAGGCCTGACATGAGGAGGTTACCAAAATGGAATATATATTATGAATTTTCGCTTTGGGGAGCCAAAATTGCAGCCTGAAACTGCTTGTTGTGATTCACCATTGGATATATCATTGTGGGCAGTGGACAAGTAGACTGGATAATGTATCCCTATTTTAGGGCTATAGTAGTATATTGATGTATCTATATAACACTATGGGCTGATCGATGGTACGCGCCATTTGTCGACGCTCATCGACTGCCACCAAACTTTTCAAACTCCATCGATTTCCGTCCATCTCCGTCGGCTGGCGTCTGTCCGATTCTTACTGGGGCCCAACACCCAAGCCCAACGCCCAACGCCCAACCTTGTGACTGATATTCAGAAATACCTCGAATAAATAGAAGTAAATACAAAGTATACCTAGTATTACATCATCTCCCCGCACTCACTGTTCCTCAGTCTTATCCCCCAGCCGCTCGGAGTCTCGGATAGTCGGAACTATGGCGCGCGGGAAGAAACAAGGGGTACCGGCCATTCCTGACATAGAGTGGACAACGGATCTCACCTGGAGACTCCTTGCCGAAGCGGAGAAATCGGGTTCGCGGTGGGTGAAAGATGCTTCGCAAAATCATGTACAGGATGTAATTTTGTAGATATTGGTAGTGTAGACTCATACGAGTCATGACTGTGAGCTCAATCGTCACCCGAGCCTCTATCCGCTAGTTAGTTTCTTCTCCAAGTCCCCGACTGTATTCATTTGTATTCGCGACTCTAATAAAATTTGTGACCGAGTCCCCCGTGCATGAAGCTGGGGGACTAGATTTGCTTATATAACATTGATACAGTTCGTAGGTATACATTGTATTTACTTCTATTTATTCGAGGTGTTTGCCTTGGATAGCCTTTCACTGCATGTTTGCTAGCGCAGCGGCGTGATGGTGAATACCAGAGGGTCGCGTCAGATCACGATATCATTGCACGCGTAAAAGACGTGGCATCTGTTCGCATCGTAATGGACATCGGGACCCTGGAACTATGGTAATTAAGTTTGAATATCGATTTCTGAGTGGTTTTCATTCATCCATCGACAATATGTATGCATACGCAGATCCTGTTGCCTGTGATTGTACCCTGAATATCTGAATATACGTATCCGTTATGTATCATCCCTGATGGACGGCGACCAAGCATTTCTCTCAAGCCCCGCTGCTCCTCAGATCAGCAACAGCCACAGGTCTGGGATAAATACTTCCCACAACCTCCTTAAACGCCATGTCATCCTCATATCTCTCCCTTCTGTTATAGGCGTGCCACCCACATCGCTATCAAAAGCCGAAGATGTGCAGAAACAACCGAGAGCTTGGAGCACCAGGCTCATGGGTCTCGAAGGGGTTTATAAAGCAAAGACAAGGAATATGGAAAGTAAGATGGAGAGCGGTGGTGGTGGGAGACAGCAAGCACGAGAACATTCATACAAACACCATCTGCACGCGAGATAGCATACAAGTAGGATCACGATGGAAATTGTGACTGAAATGAGGGCCGATGGTTGTGCGTGTGACATTGATGTCATCGCACAGTCGTATATATCAATTTGTTGAGTGCGCGATGGAAGGACGTCGACAGGTGTCGGAGAAGACGTGCGTATCCGTAGTAATAGTAGAAGTGGAACTGGGTATGGATGAGCATGACGCCTCCGGGTCGTAGCCTCCCTCCTCAAGAGGAGCGGCTGCAACTTCATGGTCCAACCATGCACCCGCTCGGACGAGTAAACGCACACACGGGTGAGTCTTGACGTAAAGGTCCTGCCCCATTGTTAGTTTTGAAGCACCGTTTTTGAAAAGCGAGATGAGTCTCTGAAAAATGAAACAGAGGTGAGTGATAATCAGAAGACGTGTGGAAATGATATAAATAAAAGGACTGGCCGTACTAGTGCGCCGCAGGCAGAGTGCAAGTGAAATCATTGTGATTGCAATATTCTGCAGGACCTGTCCTGACCTGTCCGTCACATGAGAGGGAGAAGCTGTCAGAATATGCAAGAATTACTGTTCCTACTTACTGACAACCCACCAGCCGTGTGGAGGAGCGAATGCATTCGAAAATATCCCTGTGGTGAATGAAGGAAGCAACACAGCTGGACCGTGCGAGCCGCGATCGTGAGTTTTGGACTTTGCTGGGCCAACAACTTACAAGAGGTCGAGTATTTGACCGCCAGGAGAATACAAGCGCCATTGGCTCAAATCTTGGATATATACATGTATGCGCGCCGATGCAGACAGGGATGATGAGGCATGCGGTATCAAAACAAGACAGTTTGAAATATGGCAGAGTGAGTAGCACGAGTAAATAGAGCCCGTCAACGAGAGGTGTGAAGGGATGCGACTTTTAAAGGATGAGAAAATGACAGACTAATGATGACAATATGTGTATTCAGGAGACAGACAACCAATGAAGAGCCAGAAACGAGTCCAGAGTCCAGCGTGTCTTATCGTTGCATGAGGGCGCAAGGTTGCTGACGTTGAAGCTGCAGTTGTATCACCGACAGCATGTGTGGTAGACGAATTGGAGACAGGTGCCTGTGGTTGCGAAGATGGCTGGGTCTGAGTCGCACCATTGGAATGCTGGGCGACATTGGGCTTGAGAGGCTGTGAGCCTGTTTTCCGTTTCTCTCTCGCTGAAGCATTCCTCTGCACAATGTCAGGTCGAGTGGAACATCTTGGAAGGAGAGAAAACATACGCGTTTCCCCTCAATGCATACGGGACCTCAACAACTGCTGGGCTGCCCCCGTGTAACTCTATGCCTTCACCACTCTGTCCGCGCCGTTTCAAAAGGTTTTGAACCCAATCGAGAGGAGAGGAAGGTGATGTTTCATGGGGATCGGAGGGGCTGCGGTGGAATAAGCGGCCAAGAAATGTGCTTCCTTGCGGTGCTGAGGAAGAGTGGATGCGGCTTCGTGCAGAGAACTGAGACTACGGAAGTCAGGATAAAACTCGAAGTGATAGTCACAACGTACACGAGAATGATCTGGTGGGACATCAAAAAAGCCCGAGGGTACCCGATGGGCAGGTTGACGTCGTTGGGTCGGATGTCGTGCAGCATTTTCCTAGAGTTTATAGGTTTGAACACAATGAGATCTTTTATGAAGGTGTTACGTACAGGAAGTGCCGACTTGTTGGCCTGGCAGAGCGCGTTCAGTGGTGAGAATGTAATGAATGCTTGTCGACTCACCTTTGGATCCAACAGAAGCTTGTCGAGGCCAGCTTCTTTAAGAATGGTAGCAACATCCCATGTGTATGCGTTATGGTCTCGGGAGCCAGTTGTTAGTAGTTTTCCATCCGCGGAAAACGAGACGCAGTAAACATGAGATGCATGCTGGAGTGGAGAACTGATGGGCTGGCCGTTGTCGAGGTTCCACAATCGCGTTGTCTGGTCGTATGATGCGCTTGCGAGGATGCGGCCATTTGGAGATATTGCAATGCCCCAGACTTCGGAAGTGTGCGCATCGAAAACTGCGATCTGCTTCCATGATTGTGTATTCCATGTCCGAATCGAGTTGTCGAATGACCCGGAGATGAGCGTTTTTCCATCCGCGGTCCAAGCCAGGCACCGCACCCAATCTGTGTGTCCTTTAAGAGTTGCGACAAGCTCGCCTGTCTTCGCATCCCAGATTTTAATTGAGCACTCTTGATTACGTTTACTCCTGGGCGTATCACGTCCACCAGTTGCAATCATGGTCGTGTCTGGCGAATAGATGGCTGCGTACACTTGTAGATGCCCTGTGTTGATTGGCCCGGGTTCCAGGATTGCCTCTCCGCTCTCCACATCCCACTGCCTCGCTGTCCCATCAAAAGATCCACTCAGTACTCGCTGACTATCTCGACTCCAACAGACAGGCCACCACAGCGTAAAACAACGCATTACTACTGAGGTGAAATTCGGTCAAATTTCACAATTTCCATAGATTTCCACGCATTCCCCCGAACCTAAATTACCCGTTGTGATAGTTTGTCGGAGTGTCAAACTACGCTGTGCTACCCATCGTCAAAATCTATATGATATAAACGACTTTGCGCCTAGCACAGCTCACAATGATGCGATCGAAGTAATATTAACGCGCGGTGCACGCGAAGCTTGCAATGACGTCGTCGACTGAGATTTTTGCTAAGTCCTATGTCCCATCTCCCAGCTAATTCGTCACCTCCAGCCCTGTCGACAAGCACGACGACCATCATGCCAGACGAACTGCGCTTTCCGTGTGCTTGTAGTCAATGCGCGCACCATCGAAACGGATTTGTATATCAGACTCGGCAGGTAATTGCCAAGCACATGAAGAAGTACAATCCAGCATCGAAAATCCAACGACACGCACCAAAGCCAGCTACTTTGACTCCGGGTCGCCAACCTCTCGTTTCGCAGACAAATGCCATACCAGGTCCTTCCGTGCAGCCGCTACAGTCAGACTCGCGGGATGTATCTATGCGAAGAACTCAGAGCAGAGACTTACGCGAGCAAGCCAGAAACGCGCTTCCCTTAGCTCGAATGAACTCACAGCCTCAAGACAATGCTAACTTCGATTTTGATCATGAGTATCACCCTGAGCAGGAGCTGCATGACCCCCTACCAGATATTAATCAAGAATTACCCCTCCTTCGACGTCGACAATTTCAGCCGCATCCACCTGATCAGAATTTTCAGCCGGCTGCACTGCCTGATGTTCGCGAGCCCGGAGTCGATCAGGACGAGGCTGATGCGCCATCCCTCGTGCCTGTTGCATTCAAGGAAAACGGCGAAATTCGATACGCATACCTTACAGCTGTCATGGCCAACGTTTATGGCCACCTCTCGTGGAATCAGGCGACAAATCAACTGAATCATAGTCTCAATATGCTCCTGATCGCGAATGTACTCCCCACATTTCCACGACCTGTTCGAGCATTGGCCAGCGCAAAACGGCACCTTGGAATTGACCCCGACCAATGGATTACTCAGTATGCGATATGCCCTGAGTGTTGGAAACATCACTCGCCTTCACAACTCAAGCAGCTTCTTTCTGCGGAATGCTCTGTTCCGGCCTGTAATGGTGTCATCTACACCGAACGTAGAGATGCAAAAGGTAAGATGGTCCGCACCGCTACAAAAATCAACCCGCAGGTGTCCGTCATTGGCAGTTTACGGCGCATGTTCATGCGTCCCGGATTCGCACAGTTGATCCGCGACAGTCGCCAGGATCAACCTGGGCAGAACACCGATGAAGATTTTGTTATGACGGACATCCATCATGGGACACAGTGGCATGGCCTCGAGACGAACATCCTACGTGAGGTTGGTGAGTTCGGAGCTGTGCGAGACCGAGCAATGGAGGGAAGGATGGTGAAGAAACTTACGGAGCATCGTTACGGCTTACATCTGACTATGAATACGGACTGGTAGGCTTTAATTATGCGCATATACTCAGCTAATATGTTTATTATCAGGATGGGAATCCTTGAGAACCGACCACATTCGACCGGAGCAATATATTTTGCAATCAACGATCTGCCTCGGGACCAGTGCTTCCTTCAGATAAACGTCATCTGCGCTGCCGTTTTACCAGGACCGAAAGAGCCTAACGTCCAGCAGATCAATCACTGCCTTGAACCATCAACGAAGGAGATGATGCTCCTTCAAAACGGTAACTTCGATAGATTTTGCTCATTTATTTATTTTTTATCAGCCATATAACTCCAGGCGTCAAAATGGACATTATTGACGAGGATGAACCAGCTAACGTCTACGCAGACAATCAGATCCTCGATTGTGACATGCCAGCTGCTCACAAGTTGTCGGGAACAGCAGGCCACTCGCACGACATGCACCCATGTCTCTATTGTGATACCGACATCACAAAAATCAACACACGCGAAGGCTATGACTACAGTAGTACCTTTTTCATGTGTGATTCACAAGTATTGAATGTCATTGCAGGCTGGACAGCGACAGATGATGATCATCTTCTCCGACAATCATTCTATTCACGACATGCCAATCCTATCCGGCAGAAGGCTATTCTCGATGATCACGGAGTTCGCTGGAGTACACTAAACCTCATTGCTGGCTGGTTTCCCTCAAAGAAGACCGCGCTCGACTTCATGCATTGCATATTTCTGGGTACGTGATGTTAATTTGTTGACGAGCAAAGCTAACAAAGATACAAGGCATCATTGCTCATCTCTTCATGCGTGTTTTATTTGCAGGTTATATGTTCTCCGGTGCTGGAGGTAGAAACTCACCGAAGCAGCGCTTCGAGAACCTTATCAACAGCGTTAAATGGCCGAGTCATATCACACGTCTTCCCAAGAATGTATGTTGGTTTACGTTCCTCAAATTGGATTGGCACTAAATACATTTTTTGGCAGCTCGGTGAGAACCAATCACTAAAGAAAGCAGACGAGTGGAGAAGACTACTGACAATCACACCGGTACTACTATGGTGGTCCTGGAAGGACGAGAACGACGATATTCCAGACACGGAGCCCCCTCAGCCACCCAATACTCAAGCACCAGAATTTTCACGCAACTGCCGGCGCATCTATGATGCCGTGTTACTTCTATGTGCAGCTGTCCGTCTTCTCGCAACTCGATCAATCTCGATGTCCCAAGCACGCATTGGACAGTCGTTTTTGTCCCAGTACTGCCTTCGTTGCCTCGAGCTCAACATCCATCTCACGATCAATCACCATGCATCGATGCATATCGCGGACATGATCAAGGCTTATGGACCTGTGTATTCGTGGTGGTTGTTTGCGTTCGAGCGCTTCAACGGGATGCTGGAACGTGTCAATCACAACGGACATGACGGCGGCCGAATGGAGTTGACGCTGATGCGTCATTGGGTTCAGACCCACTTGATATATGAGTATACTCTCTCGCTTCCACCCGACACTCACGCAATAGAACGAGAGACACTCAACGAGATTCTCAAGAGTCAAGCCCAGCAACGAGGGAGTATGATGACAGATATTGCTGTGTATCAGAGTGAAGCTGCTCAAGGTATGTTCTATTCTATGCTTTGACTCCGAGTCTATTAATCAACTCCTCAGATAATGTCCGACTCCCACTTCGCCAAGCAAAGTTCATCAATCTTCGAACATTTGGACCTGAAGGTGTCCTTTATCCACTGCTTATATCGTACTGCCGAGTTCTCTGGCCCGATCTTAACATTGTTGACGACTTCTCGCTTGATGATGGCACAGTCTTCTTTGCATCAAAGGTTGCCCGTGCCCTCACGTATATCCGAAAGGATGGTATTAGGTATGGTTGCATGACCAACAGACGAACACAGACAGACGCATATGGTTTCATTTCCTGTGATGGGTCCCGTCTTCCCGCTGAGATAACCACACTCCTCGCTGTTGGCATTCGAGACAAAGTACCTCACATTTGTGCCCTTGTCCGACGTCTCAAGTCCGATGAAAATATTCCGTTGATGCCCTGGGCACTTTAGTGAGTCTGGACTTCGTTTCTCACCAGATTTAACATTAACTTGAATGGTACTAGTGAAAGTACTCTTGGCATCCATACCTCGTATGCGAACGACTACCACCCATATGAAATAATCCCGGTCTCCCGCATCACAAGCCCACTCGCACTTATTCCAGTACACTCTAACATTGTCAAGAAACATCTTTGGATTTCGGTATCATTCGACCATGTACAAGATTTGGCTAATTACGCTATCGACTCGGAGACAACTGACATTTTTTGTCCTTTAGTCAGGAACGGAGCCCGAGGATTTCTTTGATGATGACGACAGTTGAGCTCAATGCCGTGAGACAGGACATACAAGGTGCGCACCTTTTGTTTAATCTTCAAAGTCGCTATCAAGACTGTCGTCAACCATCTGATTTGTGTTTGATGTGCTTGCGACAGGCTGCGCAGGCACTGTGTTCTTCGGCTGAGTTGGCTCCTCATCCACATCAATTGCTCTCGCTTTCCCCTTGTCCTTTTTCGATCCTGCTTTTCTCTTACCCTTCCCTGGCTTCGTATTCCCTTCGTCTACCAATTTTGCTCTCTTACGCGCAGCAACCTCTTTCTTTTGGATCTTGACACGCTTCTGGGCAGATATGGTTTCTTCTGGGTCCTTTGGATCGCCCCATGCTTTCCCATTGTCGACAACAAACGCCGGCACATCATACTTTTGATTCTCTGGCTGTGAAAGCCACTCCTGCGATACCATCCACCTCCTCGCACGATGTTCAACCTTCTGAATCCGCGGAATAGTGACATCGAGTGTCTCGCCTCGCACACGAATAGTGTAACGTTTCGGTGGATGAGGGTCCTGTTGAGCATCGACGGCAGCGATAAACTGGTTTCTCTGTTGTATAAGGTGGGTCAGCGCTTGGAATCCCACCACCCAATCATTGCTTACCTGCTCACTGGCCCAGACCCAAGGACGAGAGATGTATCTTCCGGTGAGACGTCCTTCTTCATTTGTCTCGTCATCGTCTTCTGACATGAGCTGGGGGCACCTGATGGTGGGGGATGGATGTATCCTTTTGGCCTATAGGCCTAAAATAGGGATACATCCCCCAATCTAATTGTCCACTCACCAGTGATACATCCATGTAGTCTGAGAATCCATGTATCTAATATAGCAAGCAGAAATCCTAAACATACATTATGACTGCAATTTTGGCTCCCCAAAGCGAAAATTCATGATATATATTCCATTTTGGTAACCTCCTCATGTCAGGCCTCCCCACATTATTCCCACACATCATATGTTCGCATTTTTCAGCCCCACAGTGTGGGAATTACCCCACAACACCAAAAACATCGCCCATTTTGGGAATCTCCACAATATCAATTATTCCCACACCCTTCCCACCTCACTGCAGCTTCACCACCACCCCACAATAGGTCCCCCTTCATATATAAGTAGTAGTTTGGTATATATATGTATATTATAATATAATAGTCCGCTTTTTTTGTTTATTTGTGTACCTGCTCCTCCTCCAGGACCCTTTCAACATAGCCTAGGGTACAGAACACTTTCGCATTTTTGCCCCTGTGATAGGGAAGTGTTCTAAGGTATTCAGAACATGTTCAGGAGTATATATGAATGTATTCCCATCTTTATTTTACCCCCTGAAGCGCCCTACAACAATAGTTATAGCATATATACATAGAAATACAAAATATGTTCCCATGTGTGCATTTCCAAGTGAACAGACTTGAAAATTGTATCCCCACAATCCATTAAGCAGTAGGAACAATGTATCAGGAGACCAGGACCACAGAACAACACCCTGCTGTATGGTATACCCCCCTTCTTCTGGTGGTTTACCCCCTGTGAAAATTTTTCCTGGAAGGCTGGACCTTAGATATGGCAGGGAGTCTATTCCTATACATATTTGGAGTATATCTATCATATAGCTACCACAGGAAGCCTTTAGGGTCCTTCAATAAGAACAAAAACATAAAACATCACATATTTCACTTTTTTGATGTTTTGCACTATCTTACCCTTTCACAAATAATACAACATGCTCATATATCATTAGTAGGGCATGTATACATGTTTCCTATGCTAAGGATCAGCTGGATATAGGGTGGAAGCATTAGATCTGAGGTAAAGGGGGTATTTCCACTGATTAGAAGGCCACATGGTAATAAAGGGTTTTATTCAGTGATCGGACACCTGGGATATATCTCATATATATCCCTAATGATAGTTTTAAATCTATAGAAAGATCCATCAAGGTTTGAATGAATGGCAAGGAAAATGACATATGTGTGAAAAGTGACAATTGACATTTTTTCACAGAAAGTCATATTTATATATGAGACAGGTCGAAGATTTCATTAAAAATGTGTAGTATACATGATAGACTACCTATGGAACCTATACTACATACTGCCCTGAGGGTAGAGTGTTGGTGGAAGGGATGTAGTGTGAAAGTGAGTTGATTCACCATTAAAGTCCAATAACCACTCAACCTCAAACTACCCATTTTCGATGTTTTGGGCATTTGAATTTTCCCACACTCAAATTTTGATCTATTTCACTTCCCAGCTCTGAGATCTGGGTAGATGTTTCTGTACATTTAGGCCTATGATGCTGAATATATGTGAAATGTACTCCAGGTGTCTGATTATAAAATTTCGATGTTTTGAAGGTATGGGAACCTAATCAGTAGATTTAGAAAGTATATACACTATTCCACAACTATGGCCTATTTTGAACTGATCTTTGGTATATAAAGCATGTATATATGCCCTACTAATGATATATGAGCATGTTGTATTATTTGTGAAAGGGTAAGATAGTGCAAAACATCAAAAAAGTGAAATATGTGATGTTTTATGTTTTTGTTCTTATTGAAGGACCCTAAAGGCTTCCTGTGGTAGCTATATGATAGATATACTCCAAATATGTATAGGAATAGACTCCCTGCCATATCTAAGGTCCAGCCTTCCAGGAAAAATTTTCACAGGGGGTAAACCACCAGAAGAAGGGGGGTATACCATACAGCAGGGTGTTGTTCTGTGGTCCTGGTCTCCTGATACATTGTTCCTACTGCTTAATGGATTGTGGGGATACAATTTTCAAGTCTGTTCACTTGGAAATGCACACATGGGAACATATTTTGTATTTCTATGTATATATGCTATAACTATTGTTGTAGGGCGCTTCAGGGGGTAAAATAAAGATGGGAATACATTCATATATACTCCTGAACATGTTCTGAATACCTTAGAACACTTCCCTATCACAGGGGCAAAAATGCGAAAGTGTTCTGTACCCTAGGCTATGTTGAAAGGGTCCTGGAGGAGGAGCAGGTACACAAATAAACAAAAAAAGCGGACTATTATATTAATATACATATATATACCAAACTACTACTTATATATGAAGGGGGACCTATTGTGGGGTGGTGGTGAAGCTGCAGTGAGGTGGGAAGGGTGTGGGAATAATTGATATTGTGGAGATTCCCAAAATGGGCGATGTTTTTGGTGTTGTGGGGTAATTCCCACACTGTGGGGCTGAAAAATGCGAACATATGATGTGTGGGAATAATGTGGGGAGGCCTGACATGAGGAGGTTACCAAAATGGAATATATATCATGAATTTTCGCTTTGGGGAGCCAAAATTGCAGCCTAAAACTGCTTATTGTGATTCACCATTGGATATATCAGTGTGGACAGTGGACAAGTAGACTGGATAATGTATCCCTATTTTAGGGCTATAGTAGTATATTGATGTATCTATATAGCATTATGGGCTCCTGGGGGATGAGGGCAGTCTTGAAGGCATCGGTCTTGAACTCCGAATCATTGGATAACGCGGCGAATTTCCGTTCGTGAACCTCACATTTCTGTGGACCGTCTCAGCCTCTGTCATAGGTAGCATTGTCACTGCTAGTAAGTACTTACACCTTGTTGTCGACTTTGACGCACGCCCTTTGACAGTTTCGCATCCCGTAATGCGCCTTGGTTTTCGGAAGCCTCTGTTGTGGTCGTTACACGAGACGATGACAGCAGCTTGGCTGCCCGTAACGCTTTCTGCAAATCTTGGTATTTGGTCTGCACACGATCAAGCAAATCCTCGTCGCTAATTGCACGCAATGCCTTTGCAGATGTAGGACTAAACTCGGCACCCTTCGTACGAATGTATCGGAAGATCGTTTGGAGACCTCGATAGTTATCTTCGTGAGTATGACTTTCCCCCCAGCGGAATCGGAGGAATTTTTCACTAGTCGCACTATCCACAGGCCACTCTTCACCATCTTTTGGCCACCAAGGCAGATCTTTGGCCGTTAATTTCACAGTACCGAGCATATGTGAAAACGCATGACGTATAACGGCCTGTGTTCAAATGCGTGAGCATTACTCCCGAAATCATAGTTATATACTCACCAGCAGCCCAGGATCACCCTTCGCTTCCAGGCTCGCCTCTATCCTAGCTTCATCCTCGTCTTCTTTGTCGTCTTCGTCACTGGATTCCCCATCCCCATGTCCTTTTTCGACCGTCTGCAACACACCCGCCAACTTCATTTCAAAATCTTGTTGCATGTCATTGAGGCGCTTCTCGCACGAGTTGTGTATGGATTGGATCACGATGTTCTGGTGAGCAACAACCTCTAAAAGATCGTGTTGTCTTGCGCACTGAGCGAGTTGTTTCTCTAGCTCAGTCACTCGCTGTTTAACTGCTTCCAACGCTGAGACTACCGCGGTCTTCGATAGCTTTGCGCTCTCTCCCGACTTTTCTGCGGCTGACGGCAAGCCTCGGGGCTGATACAATGGCGGAATCCCTCCCATGTTTCCATCGTAAGGGGCTGCCGAGAAACTGCCTGGTTCCGGGAAACCAGGATGAAACTGGAAATCGCTGTAGCTCGAATCCATGGTGTGAAGACGAATGATTCGGAACGATGGCAGCTACTGTCCCCCCTTCACGCTGTAGCACTTATATATTATGTTGCGCGCCATGTCTAGGCCATATGCATCCAATGTATCACCTTGCGTTGAGCATTTATCGTTCTTGTCGTCGAGCAACAGCTTTCGAAGAAGATCCCAACATGTGCCTCGAACAGATATTTTAAAGGAAGTGTTCGTGAATTGCTCCACATATTCCTATGAGAATCCGGGTAAAGTCTGTATTTCCCTATACAATTTCTAGACGTGTATTTTCACGGGTAATCCTAGCATATTGTCGAGAAGTCTCACATTTTCTTCACCTTTCCCTTGAGTAGTAATCTCGATCATTGTGCTGTGCACACTACCCCTGTGTGCCCCATCCATTTTGCGATGACCTTGCCTGTATCGATGCTCCACAACCTCACTCCACCGTCATTACTCCCGCTAACCACTTTCTTCCCATCCGGAGACAACGCTATACTCTTCACTTCACTGTCTCCGTCCCGCCAGTCTTTCCCTATCTGTTTCCCGCTCTTCAAGTTCCATACCCGCAGCGAGCCATCATTTGAACAAGTAATCATCCACTCTTCGTCAAGCAGATGTATGACGCCCAAGACCTCATCGGTGTGCCCTCCAAATTTCTGGCGAGGCGTTATTGCTGATATCTCTTTCTTTTTAGTGGTGGGTGAAGACATTCCAGAATTTCAACTACTGAGTGCAGCGCCGTCTCAGCTTTCACCCATCACATTCAAAATTCATTACTTACCGAGGACAACAGCGACGTGCGGATAGTAGGGAATAATGGGCGTTTCGGTCAAGTCAGAGTTGAGTTCACCGCTTCCTGCTACGTTTGCCTTGTTCACAGCTTATATTACAGCATCGGCTGTGCAGCTCAAGCGCCCAAGCCTCATTTGTCAGTGTCCACCAGGTTTATATCCCACGAAGTCTCGCTCCATGACTAACTAGTTCTCAACAACTACATAAGACCTGGCCTGTTCGCTGTGAAGCGTTCTCGTGCATCCTTGATGTCTGCTGCTGTTGCATGGGAAGATGGGCTAGCATTCCAGTGAGTTGAGTGGCCTATGTGCTAGCGCCCGTTATCTAATTGGCTCTGGAATGTTCCCTCATAGTTCACTGCATTTTTGCTTCCTAGTCAGACATTTATGTTGGAGCCATCCACATTCGGACCCTCTGAGTCGTCTTCTGCTTACAGAACCATTTAAAAAAAGAAAAAGGTGAAGGAACATTCCCTGCCACACGCTTCGTTCTTCTCTTCCACTTCTGTCGGATGCTGCCTGTATGCGCCACTGGAACTTACAATTCTGAATTGATCGGTTCTGTTTTGGGCGTTGAGGAGTTGCTTCAAATTTTGATAGTGCCTAACCACCTCACAGATGCCTCAGTCTTTCTCATTTCATCTCGCATCTTCAGCTCCACGGGTTCCGCGTCTAGGCAGCTCTGGTGCCGGTGTGTGTCTTGTTGGATGAGTTGACATGCCATGCCGACGTTAGGGTTTCTGACTCGGCTTCAGACTTGATCAATTCAACCACTGATTCCCCATCTGAGGAAGTCCCCAATCTGGGAATTAGAGGTAGAGCGCGCGTTGAAGCTTAAAGGTAAGTCTGTCTCAGATTCTGCAAAGAACTCTATTAACGGAACGTCTACCTTAAAGGTAAGTCTCTACAACGTTCGTTAGCGTGTAGTTTAAACTAATGGTATAGATAACTCACGTCTCTCAGATTCTGCAAAGAAATATAAAAGATAAGACAGACTCACAGTATATAGTTTAGCGAGCCCGCAAAACGAGCGTCTCAGTTCTCTGAAACCTCTCTATCTTTTAGCATCGGGCCCGACGTCACATCTTCGTCGTACCTGGCCCGTTGCCCTCTGCGCTCGCATCTACTGTTCATCCTCCCGTGCCTCTCCGTCGGCACGCTCGATCACCCTCAAGGTATCCGATTCCAACACCCAACGGGTAGGAGTGGGACTTGAGGCGCAGTGAGTAGACATCACTCACCAATTTTAATATGCTTTTGACACCTCGACTTTATTTCAGTCCTTGATTGATTTGCTCGTGCCCTATGGCACTTATCTTCAGTCACATCGATATCAATCCACATATGCAGCTCCGCAGGATGATCACTTGGCAACGTAATGAGGACCAATATGGGACTACACAGGATAGCAAATTTCCGATTTACGGTGAAAAGGAAGGACCAGTCCTTTGGGTGCAGAGAGCGATCTCATAGTTTGTTTGATGTCATGCACTATCTTCGTTTCCGGACTGTATGAAATAAAAGCAAAATTTGAGATGTGCCTGCAAACTTGCAAAGGCGCGGTTGCACAAGAGCCACAGTAAACATTATGAGCCGCCTATGTAGCTGGTAGTACTTATCGCTAGCGCCAGTGCGTGCAGCGGCAATGCTAGGCTCCTCATTTCCCTTGCAGCCCATGGAGCGCTCGCGAACGCCCTTATAATCAGGGTCAACATGGGTTGGCCGCCTTCATCGGTTGCAGACGCCTAATCACTATTCACTTGGCACGGTTACTTAATCGATGAGTCAGCACAGCCGAGCCGAGCCGAACACACAGAAAAGGGAATGCATATGCATGTTCTGACCCAGTCTCCTCTCTGATCTGATCAACCAGCGTAGTGAAAAGCTACTCGCTGACAGACGTCGGCGCTGGTCACACTACTTTTGTTACAGCGATGCAAACAGGTTACCAATGAAAGAATGAGTATGCACGAAGCGAGGCCATTAAGTGGGTAGCAGCCCCGGGTCGTAACCGTATACGATCATAATGCCCAGTCCTAGAGCCTGAGAGCGATCCATTTCCTCCCGTAGCTTTTTATGCTTGAGCAAGATATTTTTTGCAATTTCAGGATGATAATCTTCTTCGATGTCGCAACTACAGCCTTGATGACCATCCCTCGGTCGGAGGCTAGTCGTCCAGAAATGCCACCATGACTTCGGTTTAATGCAGATTTCGAATCGCGGGGGTATCTGGAGAGAGAATCTGAAAGGGTAGGGGAGGTCTTCATAGTAGTTTTCCACATCTAGCAGGATTTTCACGGAGTAAGGGAAGTAACCATCTCTGGTGATGAACATCCTGGGCGTTTTGAAATTCAGTAAGACATACAAGAGGAATCGTGCAGAACGCTGACCACATAATTCCGTCCAGCTGACCAATGTACGAACGCACAAGCTGCAATATTGCATGTTCGTCTACATGCTTCGAGGAATCAAAAATGAGTTGTTCACTCAAAGGGAACCCCTCCAATTTTTGGACACCGACTATACGGGTGGGAAGCTTTACAAATCCTGCTGGCGCCGCGATCAAAGATTGACGGACTGAAAGGATTACTGAAACATACTGAGGCTTGCACCTGCCAGGTCAAAATCAAAATTTAAGAGGACGGCAGCACATGTGGGACTTTGGTTGCGACTGTAATAGTACACAGACTCGATGTTGCAGGTCATTTTGTACTTTGAAAGATCATCTCCTGAGCCAATAGGTTTCAAAACTGGTGGATTGCTCTGTGTCGGATAATGTAAGTGAAGGACATAGTGTTAATGCAGGACAGACACATACAGATGCAGAGTCTGCAGCATCGCTAGTATCATGTGCAGCATGAACTTCTTGTATAGGATCAGTCATGACGAGTTTTCGATATGATGAACAAGAGCAGGAGCATATCTACCCCGGGCCATCTACCATATGTTAGGAGGCGTTTGATCCCGCGGAACCAATTCGCGTCGACGTCGTGTGTGCGCTCCACTCGAGCCCCTTTAAATTTCATATTCCACTGTGTCAGTATGACATAATCAGTTCACTGATGCAATCTTCGAAGTAGCTCGCCTGTGGCAGATCAGAGAAGACGGTACAGAATGAATCATGTTCTGGCCCTCGGAGTCTGATCTGATAAACCAACGTGGCGAAAAGCTACTCGCCGACGTCGGACGTGGGACGCTGTTCACACTGCTTTTGTTCCAGCGATGCAGATATGCACGATTCTCCAGTGCCTTCAAGAGAAACATCCAAAACAGTTCGCAAGAAACAAACTTATTGACATTGGCAGAACTACTCGTTACATCTTTCACGCCAAACTAATGCTGCAAATTCACATTTTCTTCCAACACGTCCTATCGATTGTAGCAAAGCACCGCATACTCCTGTAATATCATGTCAAATCAGATCCTGTCAACGTTGTTGGCATTTGTACTCGCCTTAACCTTCTTCTCTGTGGAGTCGTAAGGGATGTAGCAACCATCACCGAACGTCTCGCACGCCTTCCCTGGGTGCACGGCTCCATGGTAAGGAGCTTGGGCAACGTATTGAAGAGCGCCCCCGGGCTCCCGGCCACCTTCAACAGGTCGAAGTCCGTCGAGAGATGCCAAACTGAATTGGCCGGAAACGTTTACCCATCGCACGGCTTGAGGGTTCCCGACAAGAATTTCATATTGATTAAGCTTTTCCAATGAATTCAGCTGACGATAACAATCCGGTTTGATTTTGCACTTACGTGAATTTCTTCCTTCTTGTAGCCAATCACAGCTCCTTTCTTGAAGACAGAGCATGCCTTCCCGACCACTGGAGTAGACTTCATTCAGTCAACATTACAGATAGAATCACTTTGGACGTACTGATACCGCCCTATAAGAATCACAATAAGTGGTTAACCAATAAGCAAGGGCATCGGACTTGCCTCGTGGTAAGCACGGCAGATGTACAAAGGCGCGCCGCGCTCAAATCCACCTTCGATAGCATTGTGAGGGATGTTCTTACCCTCATTGAGGACCCATGCAACCGGACCAGGGTAATTTCCGCTTCGGAAAGCCTGGGTGCGTTGCTCTGCATCACGAAGCCAGTTGCTTTGCGACCAGGAATGCGCTTTTTTCTGTAGAAACCCCGAGTGTCAGATCTGTATCAAGTGATGATGAACACTTAGTATACCTCTTCCTCGTTCTTTCCGTGTTGATTGTAGGCATAAACGCCAGCAGCAAGGGCACCAACACCGGCCAGGAGGCCCCCTCCGATCTAATGAAAAAGATGGATGTGATGATGTGAGGGATCTATACGAGGGAGAAAACGTACCTCAAGCTCTTTCTTCTTTTTGTCGTCAATGTCATACCAGTGCTTCTGACCTCCCTCATTAGTCGGCTGGATGTCACCTTGAGGGGCATGGTAAGGTTGTTGCTGCTGTTGCTGCTGTTGTTGCTGCTGCTGAGGAGGCTGGTCGTATGATGGAGCACACGGCTCGGACTTGCAGTCTTCACCCCATTGACCAGATTTCTCATGATGGGGACGGCGGTGGTTATCACCATCTTCCAGACGTCCCCATAGGGCAGGCGTCACGGGTGGGGTCCAGTCACTCTGTGGGCGGAGATCGTTAGTGAGTCTGAAAATGAGGAACACTGGGAGCAGATTACCTGGGATCGGTGAGGCTGAATGATCCTGTACTGGACACCTGCAGGGGATTGTTTGATTGCCCAGAGTAAAAGGCGGACGTAAACGAACCTTCGTAGAGAACTATTGCGCCGTCATTGTACTGAGTGCCAGGTTGCCAGTGATTAAGCATGTTGTGCTAGTCTACACAAAGTTAACAGATGGAGTGGGGCTGTTTGTGTCGCTGCGCCGATGGGCTTATATCCCTTTATTTGAGCCACGAATGGGCGCAATGATTTGATCCTTTCAGGAATCAGGATCTTCCCTGATCATCAAAGGAGAACTCCAAGTATTGAAATATTGACGGGCGGACCTGCTCAACTGTCCCTTATCCGATTTCCATGAGGCAAAGATGCCAAGGGCTGACAGATGTGATACTGGTGTGTTCTCGCCTCGAGGCATACTAGTTGAGAATGGAAGACACTTGCCTTTGTTCTGGGGTTGTCTGTTATCCTGGCAGCTGATCGTGCAATGACATGATCGAGCAGGTGGGTCCTTCTGATCTCCAAACCACAGGAAACTTCAATTCTCCAGTGCCAACTCGTGAGACAAGAGGATTGACCATTGACGATCCTGGACTCCTGGTAGCGTCCAAGGACATCGGCGAGAGTGAACATCTGACCCGTTTACATTACCAACTTGTGATTCCCGCTACGGTAGTAGCTTCTATCACTAATGGGTTTTACGGTTGCAGGGAAAACCATTCTTCCGGAAGGTTGCCTAATCGTACTTCGGAATTCGGATAACATTTTACTGTCTTTTCCCTTTTCATAATTCGTGATGGCTTCCAAACGTCTAGTCAGTACTTGTTACTTCATCGAAACAATAAACTGTGTTAGATGCAGATTGACTGTACGTTGCTTCGTGCACGTCGTTCATCGGTTGGAGGCCGAAAATCGTACATCAGCAGCACAAACAGTCTGGTGCAATGTTGGTGCGGAAGCTACCCGCTCCAAAAGGTTTCGTTAGGTGAGGCAGGATCCCTCAACACATCCACGAAATACACTATGGTGGCCCCAGTAGAGCGTCTGGTGCCCGTCGTCCTGCCCTCGTTTTCGTGCCTGACTGTAGTGACCTGCTTGTGCTGGTTTGCTTTGAAATTGTTCGTACCGTACTTTCTACAAGCAGAAAACGACCTTGACATGCAGCCATTGAAGTTTGTTGTGGTCTACAAAAACAACTTCAACGCTTCAGGACCTGTCATGTGTTGCTCACCTAAGTACTTGAATTTCGTGGTCTCAAAGTAGAACACCCACTTGTCTTCGCCCCTCCTCAACTGCCCCAATAGAATCGTTCCGTTGTCCGTACGTCGATTTGTGTCGCTCTGTAAATCCCCATTGTAAGGAACGTAGTTAGTTTCATAGTGTTTAGAAGCAGCTTTACAACAAATCAAGTGAATTGAAGAGGCAGTTCCTTGCCGCCAGTAAGAGTATATCCAAGCAGGGTTTCTTGAATGACGACTCGCTTTTGGAAGCTTTTCGGAGCCACTTCTGTGCCTAAGAAGTGGTGTCTCGATGGCCGTCTGTGAAGGCCAAGTGAATTGTATGTCAGGATCCCCACTTATAGCCGAGTTTGCCAGCATGCCGCATCACGGAAGTTATGGGCGCTCACCGTGATGTCACGTCGCTCTATAGCAAACATAGCCAGTTCCTCCTTCAAAGGGCAGGCTGGAGAGGGCCAAGCTCTAATGACAAAGTAAAAGTATGTCCCAGTTGGTTTTTTACCTTAAGCTTCTACTTTTAATGGTGACCCGGTACGACTGTCCCAGCAGGATCAGTGAGATTTGAAGATTCGGCGGTGGCACCCTTGGCTACTTGTGTCTTCAAGTACCCTGACTGGTATATATATATGTACATAAAAAGACAACGGGCATGTGATGAATTCGATGATGGCGGCAGAAGCTTACGGTAGCTGACCATGCGCTTCAAGTATTACTATTAAGGTAGACGACATTAAAATCCAACTACATTTTGAGACACCATTTTGCACAACTTATTGCACTTTCCTCATCCACTTTCCAAACATTCTTTTTGCACCAATCTTTTCCTAAGACCTCTCTAGATAGCTTGATGGTCTCAAATTTTCTCAAAACTGAAATTTAAGAGAGCTATTTCCACTTTTTCTATATGTTGTATTTCATCTCCAAATACATTTCTGACGCTATAGGCGGAAAATAAAATATTTGTCCCGTAGATTTGGCCACGTCACGTGATACCACTTTAACCATATATGGTTGATTACATAACACCAGGCTGTGCCACAATCAAGGTAAGCACTACTGGTGCGTAGTCAGTCATAACCATACTCCTTTGATATTCCTAGTACTTTAAGTGTGGATGTAGAGTAAAATACAAAGCTTATTGTTTTTTAATTTCAATTTTTTTTGATGTTGTCAAAGTGATTTTCGAGGCAAATAGTGATTTTGGATTTTCGAATTCTGAGATTTGGCCGTGGGAACAGTCACGTGATCATATGGCGGCACTAGTTGTATTTCAATGTCGTCTACCTTAGTAAGCGTCCCTCGTTGATAGTGACTTCGATCTATCATTTCCCCAGACTACTCACTCATGGCCTAGTCTCGACAGAAATACATGGTGGTATATGAGATTCAATTGGATGCAAATGCATTGTTATTTCGTCCATGATCCCCATCATAGTGAGCTCGGTCCCGTGGGATAATACTTGAACCTCATATTTGGAGGCGGCGGGCTCTGAAACTTATCAGTCGGGCCCAAATATCCATCAAGGACTCCGCTTCTGCACGGGCAGGTTGCTCCGAGTCTGCAGCTCGGACAGAGCGAGCATTTTTAAAACGACGCTGTGTCGTGATTCGTGGTGTACTTAAAAAGGCGCACGAGTCTAGGCCAACTTGGTTTCATCTTTACGTTTCATCTTCTTTCATATCCGATTAAACAGCTGCCAGTGCCTCAACCTTTACTTTTCAGATTATGCGCGCTAATCATCTCGACGTGTTGCTGAGAATTTGGCGGTAGGTTGTCGTGTCTCCTCATGTTTTCAATGTTATATTACGAAGGCAGCACCGGAGCCCTGAGCAACACACCCACGGGAATTATGTAGCGTAGCGCCGCAGCCTCGTCGATTCTGGTAGGAAGTCTGACGGTTCGTTACTTCTTACTAGCGCCTCTTCACACAGGTGACAGCAGGTCCTAAATTCGCTTCTTCGCTTCTCGCTTTCCGTGATGCATGCACATTTAATAGCGCCTGGCAGCGATACTTAAGATGGACAGACCAAGTCCTCACTCCATTCCGCGCTTCTGCCTTCGAAATGCACTTCATCAATGTCAAATTCGTGAGCTAGCCTCCATCGCTCCGTAGGGCCTCGTTGATTAGGCTTTCCCGCAGCGTTTGAGTCCCACTACTCTGCTCCTCTTGACTATCTTCGGTCAGACTGTGATCATGGGTTTCGCATGGGGCTTCACCGGAGGCCTTTTGTTCGCAGATATTCTCGCACTACCGGATCACATCGTTTATCTGATCTTAGAGCATCCGACAGTGCTGACCTTAATAGTTACGCTGATTTCAACTGTCTTGTCGATCATCACTTCAATGTGCGTCGTCCTCTCCATGTCTAGTCCGAAGTCTTACCGGCCTGCTATTGCATAGGTTCTTCACATTTGCCGTCAAAGAAGCGTTTCGGCACCACCTCTCAGGGCCGATTACACTGTTCAGGCTCCGCACTGCAATAGCGCTTAGCAGACCGACTTGGGTGTTGCGATGGAGATCCCTCAAGCTTTCCGCCCTCACGTTGTTGGTTTATGCGGTTATTACATTTCTGAACACAAGGTCTGCACCATTCTCGATGAACCCAGCGGAGATATGGTTGACGTTTTTTTTTTTACAGTTGGAGCACTTTGCTTCTGCCCACCCTTGTCCAATGGCCTGTGGCAATGTCCGGAACGGAACTAGACTTGGGATCTGCTGCATTCGTAAACCAGTTGAGTGTGGACCTTAATATTGCGGTAAATAGCACCAGTATGCAGTTGTTTCATTTTCAATGGCCAGTAACAATTTGACTCAAGAGAAATCATTCTAGCACAAGCACCTGCGTTTCAAACCATCAATGTCTTGACTCTCCTCAGTGGTATTTCTGCGGTTGACATTCAAGGAGGTGTGCAAACGACTAGCATATTCAGCTTTAACGGAGTTTCATACAATCAATCGTGTGGTGAGTACCTCGGCAGTTAAAGATCATGGGCTCATTTGACACTCGAAAGGTGGAGTTCTTCCTGCGATAGAGGAGTACTCCGGAGCATCAGACCTACCGGGTCCTAATGTTGGCCTGGAGTTCTCTGGGGGCAAAGTGCCAGTTAATTCCAGTTTTGACTGGGGGCACCTCGGGCGCGATGCCGGGACTCAAGGCATTTCGAAGAACTACACTGTCACACAGCAAGGTGTCACGGCAGATGTTACTTGTCAGCCGATGGACCGCAGTAAAGATTCATTCGAAGTCACCCCAACAGTATCACAAGGACCGTTTAACACGTTCATAACGTGGGTAGCCGCTGCGAATTGTTCAGGAAGTGCGTTCATCTCTGACATGAAACTCGTCCATGACTTATCAACTCCAGATCAAAATTCGCTGACCTATTTCACTGTCGGCAACGCGAGTGGTCAGATGGACCACACCGTGGGATTTCTCCCTGTTGTTGTATGCCCCAGTCCAAACGCGACGGCATTCAACCCATATAAATTTGGTACGACTTTTGTTACATTCCTCGGTATCTTCCGAGTAATTTCCTTGCAGATATTTTCATGTCTGGCCTGTACAAATATGACTTCCTGCCGACGATTGTTTGCGAAGTTGTTCCGTACTTGACCACAGTCAACGTCACCTATAATGGAGGACTCATATATGTCGATCGGATTGACCCATCTTCTGGTTTAACGAACAATTCGAATTTTCCTTTATCCCAGTACATCGCGACTGTGATGAATTATCAAGCGGGGTCAAACCAAGCCGTAGGGAAGAATACAATTGGTGACTTTTTGACCGCGTACGGTACCAGCAATGTATCAGTCATGTACGACGAATTGGTGACTGTTTCCGCTTCCTCTGACATCAACGTAACTGATTACTTTACAGGAAGATTACTGGCGCGGTATTGCGGAGTTCTCCTCTACTGTAAGTGAGCTTCATATCTTCCATGAATATTATCGAAAACTGCATCTAGCAACTTCGTTCCGGATACTCCACTTCAGGAGATATTCCGTCGAATATGACAAGGGCGACAAGCGGCACAATGTATATCATGACATACGGCTGGCGAAGCCAGACCCACACGTTTATCCTTCTGCTTGTGGTGATCACCGTGATCTGGGGCACCACCCTATTGGCCGCCGGGTACAGCCTCATCAAAGAAAAATACAGTGCCTCCGATCCATCTTTCGACTTTTCTGACCCCGTTCATCTCATCATCGCGGCATCTGGCGGAGGACTTGAATCGCAGCTTCGCGAAGCCGATAGAAACCATGCAGACAATCGCGAGGACATTACGGTTCGGTTTGTTGATGTTGTTGACCCCGAGGGAAAGATAACCGGCAGCAAGAGACTGATTACTGTGTGATACGATGATTCTTTGGATCCGGGGCGCCTGACACCCATTACAGATTGTGGTCCCTTGATATTGTTTGTAGTGATCGAATTGCTAGATCTGTCGCATCTAATAATGTCACGGTGATCGTAGTCCTTATTCAATTACTACATTATCTATGAGCCTCAGTGGACAATTAATTTTCTAGAGTTGTAACGAGTACATTTCTCAATGAGATTCTTGATCATGACACTAATCTAAACGCCCTGGATCAGACACTTTCTTTCTCTGGAATAGTGCTGCCTAGGAACGTTCTGCTTCTAGTCCATCGACTATTACTTACGAATGGTGCTAAAAGTACATTTTGTGTAGTTCCTGTCAGTACCGCCGGTACTTCAAGTTTAGCAAATAGCAGCGCTGGCACGGCCCTGAGAGTGAGTGTTTTTATCGTTTATGTGCGTCTTTCACCATCTCGAGTAAGTAATTATGCAATCCTTTGATCATCGTGCTCAGCACGAGGCACCACGGGGCCCGCAGCGAAAGTTGATTCAAAGTTATATGAATGCCCCCCACACGTACTGATATCTTGCACCCCTAAATGGGGAAATTCGAAACGCGGCGCAACCAGGAGTATTAATTACATTGCATGTGGTCAACTTGCTGCTCCAGTTCAACGGATGTGTTCTGATGGACGTGCTCGATGTCGATCCGGCTCTGCAATTATACAAAGATCTTTGTCGGGTTGGTAAGAAGTACTATCTCAAAATAGGGGCCCTTTATCGTCCATCCTTTACCGTTGTAGTGTTGGACCAATCGCAGTGGGCGCTGTCAGGCCCAGTCATACGGAGATAGCAATACATATACAAGTATGAACTCACGATAACAATCAAAAAGACTGCTGAAGCCTCTAGTTCCTTACGGAGAATATCACAGCATGCGCTGTCAGCGCTGAGCGCAGCTCCACTCTGGGGAGAACATAAGATGAGGTTGCGCAACCAACCTAGGTAGGCCAGGATAAGACCACACCTTTCAAACGAGTTAGAACGTTCGCTGCATGAGTCACTTATTGAAGAGCGACTCCTGAGGCATTTGATGGATTGATGGACCAGTGCGGCAAGTTGCGTGATTAGAGTGTTTTGGAATCGTCAGTCGGGATCCATGACAGCAAGAAGGTGCGGGAGAACCCGAACCGCCACAATGGCCTATCTTCCTGCCTGGTCACATCAGCTGTCATCACTCGTCCTTCTTTGGTACTCGGACCTTGCACTTCAGATTATCAGTTCGTTGCATGAGATATTTGTTGAAGAGTGACTCCTGAGGCATTTGATGGATTGATGAATCAGTGCGGCAAGTTGCGCGATTGGATGGATGATGGTAGGCAGTGGTGGGTCAATCAATGATTATCCACCTCCGGAAAGATAGCGAACCGAGAAAATGGACATCCTCTTCAAGATTTTGCCAACAAGGCCATACACACTGGATGTATAAAGGACCCTCCTTGCGCCGTTCGTAATTCAGCACTAGCCCAAAGACCTTTGACAACAACCCAGTATCAGCATCAATCCATCCACAATGCTCACTGTACGCCCGACTCCTTGCAGACATTTCGTTGTCTAATCTTCATTGACAGGTCACTGAAATCCCCGTTTCTTACAACAACACATCGTCGGCCACCTGTGGGTGCGGCAGCGCGTGAGTGGCATTGTCTTTTGTTCTTGTGCACGGTGTCTTATTGAGAATGCCCAGATGCGCGTGCAAGGCGGGAGAATGCAAGTGCTAAGCACCACCGCAATGTCTCAATCAAGGAGTTATTCGTTCGGAATCCACGTATACTTGTTGTACCAATGAAGGAAAGGTGTAAAGTTTGATCGAATTCTGTATAAATGTCATGCTGTGAAGTTGCTAGTAGCCTACGAGCGAGGCTGCCTCGTGCGAGCTGGTCGTAGATAACGATGCAGGCGCTAAGCGATACTCGGCAAGTCTGCCAGGCTTGCGACTCGCGAGTTGGCCAGGGGATGCCCAGATGCGCATGAAACGTCGGTCGCACAGAGCAGCAGAGAACCTGTCAGAAAATGTGCATAGCAATTTTGATAGGAACATTTAGGAAGAGATTTCACTGGCTGAGATACTTAGTACTCTTGGCGGAATGGGCCCATGATGTCAGAAGTCGCTTCACAAGGATAGTATCTGGTCCGTACCATAGAAACCCCTGTACTTCAAAATGAATCAACCAATGACACCCGTGGCATTTCCATGACTCCTGCGAGTGCCATGTACATAGGAAACGCCACTGGGTCGCCAGGCACAAATATGGGGGTAAGAACGTTAACATGGCTACGTACGAACCTTGCATAGTTTCCCATTTGCACAAAGAAGTGGGACGTTTAATGCCATAGATCACCTGTTAGAGGTGATAAAACTGGCCAGCTGGCACAGTGTTATACTATACATGCGAATTTCAAGTTTTGAAAGCCCAGGCCTAAAGGTTCAAGGAAGCGTGGTAACCTTAACCCTTGAAGGGATTGTTCGGGATATTTGCACTTATTTGTTGCCTGTACCGAGTGGTTTGTGCTAGCCATTATGCCGCCCGCAAGCTCTCATCCACGACTCCTCCACTTTCCACAGCCCCCATCGACCCCGCAATCATGGCAAGCAAAGCAGCCCACAAACGTGTAAGAACCCATATTTACCTCTTAAGACGTCGCTGATACGTCAAAATTTAGCTTGCCAAGGAGTATGTGAGCATGCAGAAAGAGCCGCCCCCATTTGTTTGGGCAACACCGGATGAAAAGAACATCTTGACTTGTAAGCTTCAATCTTTTTCATGCGCGAGCACGCTTTTGAAGTGTTACATCCAGGGAATTACCTTATCGTGCGTTTTTTGAGTGGATTGCGCCACTATTCTTGTTCAACAATCACTTCTGTTATACAGCGCGGTCCCCCTGATTCGCCTTTTGCTGGTGGTGAGTATCACGGTGTGCTCATTTTCCCCGCGGAATACCCCTTCAAGCCACCGGGCATCAAGGTGCGTTCTTCCTGACTCATATGATCGTTATCTTCGACGACTTATGATGAATATGATGTAACAGATGTTCACCCCTTCTGGTCGATTCCAACCTGACAAGAAGATTTGTTTCTCCATGTCCGATTTCCATCCTGGTACTGTGCGTCCTGTTCAACCATCCCAATGGTCATCATTACTGAGTCATCATTAGTGGAATCCCGCCTGGAGTGTCGCCACGATGTGAGTGCCCCACTTGATTATAATAATCCGGTCTCTTGCTTCTTCTCCGGACCTCGACGCAATTGATAGAAAACGTGATATTTGATGCTCACGATCGTCGTCTTTTCTGTTTACCGACTCAATCCCCATCCTACCCACCCGAGCGCTTACTCATCAAGATACATTTAGACTCACAGGATTACTATCGTTCATGCTCTCCGATGAGATGACGACTGGCTCGGTGACATCGTCAGACGGCCACAAACGAGCTTATGCTGCTCGCAGTCACTCCCACAATTTGACCCAACCAAGATTCAGAGAAGCTTTTCCAGACGTGAGTGCCATCTCCTAATTTTTTTCTCCACGATACGAGAAGCCCGAGAGGGGCTGAATTATCGTTTCATTCGGATCAGGGGTCATATCCAAATGTTCAAGGCTGCTTGTTTTTACCTGTGTTAACTTGTACCTGATTCGCTGATCACTGCCGCGCTTTCCGCAGTACTGCATGGACACGCTCCGAGATTTGCCGAATATGGGCGAGCGGGAGCGAGGGAAACCAGAAACGGCGGCCACGCCCACTTCACCCATGAGCCCTAGTCCGTTTTCTCCATCTATCTCAAGATCTACCACAGCGACACACCTGCCGCAGGTGTGTGAGAGACGACCAATAGCACAGGCACCCGCTACCACGACGACGTCAAATGCGAGCGATGTCGTAAGTACTAGTAGTTTGGCATCTACGAACAAGCCAACTACGACACCGCAGGGGTGGACAGGACCGCTGCGCCAGGTACTATGGGAGAAGTGGAGATGGGGCGTGTTGATCGCTTTCGCTGTCATTGTGTCACGGCTATCGTCAAGCCCTTGACATTCTTTGGGGACTGGAGCTACCCTGTGCCATAGGTTTTTTCTTCTTTTTTCATTTGTGTCATGATTGGATAACAATAAAGATATGGACCAATTGTATCATGTATGTAGGGCAGATACATACTTAGTTATCACGGCTTCATCAGTTTCATCATTGAAGTAAACAACTCAACTTTTCAGCATACAGAGCTATAATATCGACTCCCCTCATCGGACGTTGACATGTAAAATATGCTCGACTATGCCACAAAGCAGTGCGTTTAGCTTCCACCTTGGACGTCCGGTGTGAGAGTTGTTTCCCATAGTCTACTTATGGGTCCCTGGACCCCGCCAACAAGCGGTTCGACCGCTTTCCAAAGCTCTTCCGCAACTTCTTCCTTGGTCTTCCCTGCATCAATCCCCACCCACTTGCCCTCGCCCTCGTCCTGCATCGCCTGCCCGATTTTATCGAATACATGCCTCACGCCTTTCTGCACTTCTTCTCTCTCGTACCTCTCTAGCCCATACCCGCCCCTCGCAGCTGCGACTTCTGGACTGATATTGAGGAATAGAGTAAGGTCTGGCGCAGGGAGCCCAATCTCGGGAGTGCGACACCATTCGTATGGTAGTCCCTTACGAGCTGAAAATGCGATACCAGAGAACGCATATCGGTCAGCAAGGACGGTCGTCCCTTCTGCAAGATGAGCTGTGATCGTAGATCTATGTGCAAAGAGATAGAAATGGTGTCATGGAACGCGAACAGATGGAAACAGTGATTGTGCGCACGCAAGTTCCCAGCGGTTAGCAGAGAAGAGCAGGTGAATGGCGCGGTCGTCTAGCTCGGACTCGGAACGGAGGTACGCGTCGATCATCTTCCCGATGGCCGTTGTGCGGTCTGGGAGAGAGTTTGCATTGAGATTCGTATTGGGGAACATGGAATGGAAATGTACCGGGGAACTTTAGCAGGACTACCTTTGGTGTTGTGGCTACATCTTGAGAGTCTTGTAGACGTTCGTGGAGGAGAGAGGCTTGGGTACTCTTGCCAGATCTGTCTAATCCTTCGATGACGATAAATGCACCACGCTTTGAGCTCGACATGAGCACTATGGTGGTGGTTTCTAAGTCGCGTCAGACGCGTTGTGTACGCGTTTGGATCGGTGATAAGATTATATGATAACAGATGCATAAGGATAGTCCCTAGTAGCGCCAGTACTACTAGCTCTCAAGCAAGCGCAGAGGAAACTGCAAATAACTGGATATCACCGTCGGCCGCGTGGGCCGTTCTTTCCCTTCATCGCCGTTCGTTTTCTCTCCCGTTCCTCTTCCCGTGCTCTCGCACCGCGTTGACGAGGATCAATAACCTCGTAGTCCCTCTCAGCCTTCCTCGTTTCCTCCCCATCGTCCTTCGGGAAGTGCAGAGCATGGCCGATAAATCCGCGGTCGTCGTCCACCTCTATGCCTGGATCCTCACCATCGGGAACGGTTCCGCCTCCACCGTCGTCCACACGATCGCCCTCCTCTTGAACATCATCCATCTCCAGGGTCGCGTTTGACTGTAACAATCCCCTGAAGCTGTTCAAGGCAGCTAACACATCGCCCTCATCTTTCTTGCCTTTCCCTTTCTTCTGTAATCCCCGCCCCTTGGAGTACTTGGCAAGTCCTTCCTCGAGATAGGACTTCGTCGGTTTTGCCTTCTTTCGTGCAGCCTCCTCGTCACTGTCCTCGCCACCTTCTCGTTTGCGCGTTAGTCTACGGATTTCGCTCTCCATCTGCTCAATTTCAGTGCGCCGGGCGTCGCTATGGATTTTATGTGTTAATTGGGGGCACAGCAGGGAGTAAAAGATTAGAAACCTTCCAGAAGCCTTCTCTTTCGCGTGTGTTTCACGAATTTTCTTGATGTCCTTATCTGCACCCCCCTCGGATCTATCACTTTTGGAAGATTTCTCGTGCTGATAATAGTCTGTGAGATTCGTTACTCGGCAGTAGCTGTAAAGTTTTTACCTTGGATGGTTCCTTCTCAGATGCACGTTCCCGAGGCGGTTCTTTAGATTTCTTCGTAGGATTGAGCAAAGATTCAGGCATCGGAATGCCTGTGGCACTAGGATTGTCAACCACTACAACCTTCTGCTTAGCTGCTGCTGTTAAACGCTCGTTGACTTATAAACTCACAGTCTGGCCGAGCAATATTTTTCTTCTTGAACGCTACGGGTTCCGTTTCGCCATCCTGATCTCCGCCAAAGCTCAAAAGTTTTACATCCCTTTCGCCCTGTCAGCAAAACAGGATTCAGTCAGAATTCGCAACTTACTTCTTAGCACCTCTCCGACGTTCGGCCTCTTCTCGTTGACGCTGACCAGCTTCTCGTGCTCGCTGCTGGGCACGCTTTTCGGCAGCAGTGATTCGCGGTATAATGTCTGGGAATGGATTGTCGGCTATTGTTATTGACTTGATTTTGGGTGGGCTGGATGAAGGCCCGTGAGCTTTGAGAGGAAAAGGTTGTCACGAGTTTGTGTCAAACCTACTACACGGGTCGTTCATTTTCGCCAATTTCTGGGAAAGGGAAGGAATTAATGTTAGTTGACCAAGCCTGTGCAAGTCACCTACCCATCTCTCCGATCTTCATGACATCTAAGGCAAAGTCAGTGAGAAATATGAAAGTATGTCTAATCTCTAAACGTACTGTACACGGTGTCGCCAATTACCCTTCCGAACAACGTATGTTTACCGTGCAGTTCATCCGCTCTGTCTGTGCCATGAAGTGAGGTCAAGGTCTTGAATTGTCGCACTGAAATGTTTCTCACCGAGGGTAATGAAGAACTGTGAATCATTGGAATTCTTCGTCCCATTGTTGGCCATAGCGACAAGCCCACGGTGAGCATACCGCAACCGCGGGTGAATTTCATCCTCGAATGGTTCTTTGGCCTAGTATTGATGATGCATCAAGGTGAACTACGACAAAGACGCACCTCCATAGAATGACTCCCCTCCTCCACCTGTCCCTGTTTTGTCACCAGTTTGGACTAGGAAACCTGGTACAATTCTGCAAGGAAAGCTGGAGAAACATTCCGAGTATGCTGAACGAGGTACTAACCTATGAAAGATGACGCCGTCATAATAACCTGACCTCTGAGTGAGCTAGGCGCCTTGGTTTCAGAATGAATTCAATTCCTGACCTTCTAGCGCGAGCGCGATGAAGTTCCGGCATGTTTTTGGTGTTTCCTGAGTGTAGTACGCTCAGCAACCAAACCAGTCTATACTCCACGAATGCAGTGCACACACCTTTGACCACAGCTCGATTTCGATTTCTCCTACAGTCGTGTCAATTATTACTCGTCCGTTTGTTGGGAGCGCCATTGCCGCTTGCAAGGAGGATCAAGTGAGTCGCGGTTTACCTGGAATAAGGACAATCCCAAAAAGGTAACTCCACTCTGCTGTGAAGTTGTGAAGTTAGACGGGTTTTCTGCACACATATCATGGGTCGGTTACGGAGATCTCGTACACATCATGCACAACGCGACGTGCATCGAGCATCCCGCACAAGGGTATGCACTCGCTCTCTTGTGTCTATTCTTTTGTTAATCTGACTTTTAGGCTCGCACAAAAGACTTGGATCAAATCCAGCTCATTGATCTAGACCCGAAGGTACTTAAAAATTCTCTTCAGCTCGTGCGCTCCATCTAAACCCTCACATAGAATCGAGCTGCTCTCGAAGCACAACCCATCGATCTCGAGAAACCTGGCCTTGCCCAGCACTACTGCGTTGAATGTGCAAAGTAAGTCAATTTATTACCACACCCTTTCGGTCAACTTGATTATGTCGTCGAAAAGATACTTCGAGACTGATACCGCACTTCGGTCACATTGGAAGAGCAAAGTACACAAACGACGGTGTAAAGTTTTGAAGGAGCCTGCATATACTATAGAAGAAGCGGAAAGAGCAGCTGGCCTGGGGCGAGAAGGGAAAAGAACGCCGGTTTCTGCACAAGTCATGCCGATAGATACTTAGGTGCGAAAATCATCACGAGTTTTTTTCTCGACGCCCATATCCTTATGCCCTGCAGCGCCTAGCGATGTGACCCAAGGATGTTTGCCCGTCCTTGTCTTCCTGGTTGGGAACTCCTGGCCACATTTGACAGCTCCTCGGGCTGGATCATGCCTCGAGTCAGACATTGGTGTTATTATCCAGTGCGTAGGGCCCGTATGATCACCGCGCCAGGATGATCGGCATCAAGTCAAGAATATCTGCATCGCTCTCTAGTTCTTGGTTGCGTTTCCATCACTCCCGGTCGCGCTCAATCGAGATTCACACTTTTTTCCCAAATCAAAAATTATTGTTGCTGAGCGGCAGGGAATGATTTGCTTACTGATGGGGATTTTTAGGGACTGGAGTGAGAATGTCGCAGTGCGCAGTGGTCTCATTGAGTCTTGAGACGGCAGACAATGGAAGGACAGAACCAATATAGTCTCAAGCACTTCGCGTTGCTCAACCCTAAACGACACGAGTCTGGAGACCTACGTTACACAGGTCCATTTGCCGCAAGACTACATGAGGTCGTTAACGTTCCTCATGAGCTGAGATTCGAATACAGACGCGACCAAAGGTGATCAAATCCAGGAACCGCGGCACTGCCCTGTGTCTATATTTCCTTACGCCGTCGACGTGATAACATAGGATAACTTTGAGTCACTGACACTGCCTCATGCTTGATGGACAGGTCTGTCCTGGTTCTTCTCGGTAAGCCTTTTCAGCTACCAATATCACGGACAACAACTGATACACATCTACAGGCGAGGCTGCTGTTGGCAAATCGTCGGTTTTCTGGGTGTGTGCGGTGCTGCCACTGAACCGTTTTCGAGGTTTCAAACAAATTCCCAGCAAACAATTTGAAGAAGCCCACCATCGGTAAAGTATTCGCGACTCGAAGACCGCGTCCTGCCTTACGAGATTTGGACTCCCGCTGTCCAGGAATATTGTTCCAGTTCTCTCGCTGTTGCTCACCACTGGCTAGCAATAAGTTAGTTTAGTACAACCTTCGCATCTGACCGATTTGTCGTTTTCTTCCACAGACGGCCTAGCAATAAAGAGTAAACAGTACTATAGCGCTAGTGGTACAGATCTTGTGAATGTAACCTGGCTGCGCCACGCTGTTCCCGTACTTAAGTTCACCAATACTTTCGAATTGTTGATGCCGAAAGTGAGGCATTTATATTTGGCTATTATTATATATAATAATCTCACAGACACCGTGACTGAGCGCAAAAAAATTCTCGCGCGCCCCTCAAGTCATTTGCAACACACTGTATTATGAAGCCCGAGTCCCCTGTCGAAAGCGTTGAGCAAGGCAAAGCCTGCTCACGTCGAATGGCCCACAGCGGGCAGAGAGGCAGCGACGCTTCTAATTTGCCAGCGTCTACTCTCTGTATCTCCATCATACCTGAACTGCAGTGGAAGATTTTCCAGCTGGTCCATGCTGCCCCTGAAAACTACTCGAGGAAAAAGACACTGCTGGCGCTTGCCTTGACATGCAAGTCATTCACGGGACCTGCACTGAAGCTTTTGTGGCGAAACCTGTCTGGGTTTGCGCCTCTTATCAAATGTCTCCCGCAAAGCCTATGGAAACAGGTGGGACGAAAATTGGTTAGTCAAGCTCTGGTTCAGACTTGAGAGCACACCTGTTCACACCTTTACCAGGAATTTCAAAGAGTCATGACCGTAGATGACTGGTCTATTTTTTGCAAATACAACCATCATGTCCGTTCACTCGTGATACGTGACCATTCACCGGTTGGTGACGAAATTTGGCGCACACTCAGCTGTCCTCCCTTCTCCCTTCCCTTGCTCCCCAACCTGATGTCTCTTACCTGGAGTAGTGCTAGCATAGAGACATTTCTAAGTATCCCGTTGTTTGTGAGCCCCACAATAACGAGGCTCAACCTCATTTCCTGCACCTTTGGTGCAGTTGAACACTCCATCTTGTCATGCATATCAATGATGTGCCCTTTAGTCTCGCAATTCAGTTTTTGTCCGAACACAAAATCAAATGACACATCCACTGCGTTACAAAACTGGTCTCATCTAACATCAGTGACCACTGGAACAGTTTCAGAGGCCGCCATACTACACCTCTCCAAGCTGCCTTCACTCCGATTTCTACATTTCGGATTACCGTCAACACCCATCTCTGTGGATACACAAAAGCTGCAGCATCCTGTGTTTTGCGCGTTGGAAGAACTGATCGTGAACAGCAGTAGTCTGGTGCTCTTAGATGCTTTTCTCGAGAGGTTCTCCATTGGTCCAAAATCCATAAACCTTACAATCACTGGTGGCTTGGATTCCACAATTGGGGTCCTGCCGACTTTGATCTCCCGCCTATCTAACGCATGCGCACACGATTCGCTGAAATTCGTGCGGTTCTGCATCAACCATCAGTTCATAGATCACATCACTGCAATCAGAATTGCAGTTTTACGACCGCTCCTTGCCTTCCGCAATCTTCGCAGGCTCGACTTCACAGCCTATGACTATAATTTGCGATGGGATGATGCTATCCTTTTGCAGATGGCTAAGGCCTGGCCCCTCCTACAAGTGTTAAATCTCAACCAAGGGCAACATTCAAGTCGTGGAGTCACTCCAAGTGCCTTCATATCGCTGTTGCAGCACTGCCCGTGTCTTGTTTCGGTCGCCGTAATCGTGAACTGGTCAACCATTGACGGACACGACATATCCCCTGATGCTCCCTACGGAGGATTTGCACACAAGGCGTTATCTACGGCATTATTTGGCAGTCCAAGAATTCACCACCCGGGAAGGATTGCTGCTTTCATCTCAGCCATCGCGCCCAATTTGGCATCAATCATTACATGGACGGATGGAGATAGGGAAGAAGAAGACATAGACTCCAACAAATACTCCACTAGGTGGAAATGCGTCCGTGATTTGATCAAGACTTTCTCCGCAGTACGCGAGCAGGGGAGGAGGATGGTGCTGAGTGGGGGTGCAGGAGCTGATGGAAACCAAGGTCCACACAACCACTACGGAACCGCGCAGCTAGCACACGAGACCGAAAACGGAGATGCTGTAATTGGTGGAGGTGACAAAGGTGATGACGGAGATGTTTTTGAGGTTGGTGGGGGAATCGATGATGAGTCAGACTATATGACCGACGAGTCCTCATAGGAGGATTAATGAATCAAGACACAGACGTACTAAATTCCCTAAGACTCGCGGACCTTGTTGTAGGTTTCAGACTATTGAAATAGACTCGTGCAAAGGACTGTAACGCTGCGTGAGAGTTCGATAGGGAATTGGTCTTTCTAAGCAGTAATAGGACTAGGCTTGTATTTAGTAGACTTCACGATTTAGAATGAAGGATTGAGAACGCGAGGCTAGCTTCTGACAGACTTGGAGCGGGGAAGTTCACGAGTGTGATTCTGCTATCGAAGTGAGAGTACATGGGCCGTATATATACGTTCGAGGGGAGTCGTACTAATCGGAAACGAGTTGGAGAGCATGTGGAACGAAAGAGATATCGGTGAAGAAACGGGTATCGTGGAAGGAGAGCACAAGGTAGGATGACGGTAAGAAATGTAGAGGGCCAAAGAAGGATGTATCCCCGTAACTCGGACGCGAAGTGTAAAACTTCTTCGTGTCGGTGAGTTACGTAGACGCGCGCTAATGCGACTCTATCTGAAGCATGGATCGGTGTGTAAAGGATATCCTATCCTTACATCACCCTCCTACTTCGAAAATCGACCGTTCCTGGTCGATTTTCCAACTACTGAAAAGGGGGAATGTATTATCATACTGTAGAGTAGAAAATGGAAAAAAAAAATTTAGAAAAACGAGAGAGAAGAGTGGTAACGCATCTAGTCTGTTTCATCGTCGATTCCTGTTATAGCTTGAGGATCGATATACTGGGTGATCTCGATAGAAGTAGGAGAGCGCGGATAATAGGGAATGATGCGGAATGCTGCGAACTTCAGTTTTGAAACGGCTCCGTCAATTTCTGCGAGTCGATAGGATCCTCCTTGTGAGCGGGACACCACGACCATTGGTCCGAAATAACGTGGCTTGCACTTAGCATTGGACGCTGCTTCAATTTTCTTGTTGAGTACTAAGACGAGGTCTCCGGGCTGGAATGCGTAATCATGGATAATGTTGGCAAAGCGTTGTTCGAAGTTCTTAGCGGATGCGAAGCGGGATTTGAGCAGACGTTCGTGCGCTAGTTCTAAGTCATGGTCACGTTTAGCCAGCTGGTGGCCTCTGATAGCGAGTAGCTCGTCCGTGGAAATGAGAGCGCTGATGTCAGGGAGTAGGAAGGTTGCATCAGTGATATCGAAGGGAAGAATAGGTTCCACGCCATGAGCTAAAAAGAAGGGAGTGTGGCCCGTGGTTTTTCGCGTGGTAACGCGGTCCGCCCAGAAAACGTGTGGTGCAACAGATGGCCAACGAGTGATGTCGCCGTCACATGCCTTGACGAGCGAATCACGAATCGTTCGATGAGAACGTTCCACGAGGCCGTTAGCGCGTGAGTTATAAGGTGAGATTCGGATGTGATTGATATGGTATTTCTTCGAGAGCCATTCGACTGCTGCCACGAACGGGGTACCGTTGTCCGTTACGATCTCCTCTATTCCTCCCCATCTACACAGTATTTCCTCGAAAATGAAGGCTCCTAAGGTGCGTCCGGTCTCTGTTCTCAACATGCGCCACTCGGGCCAGTTCGACAGTGAACAGCGTGCTTGGACTATGTATGTGTAACCCCGAGCAGTGGGCATATACATCGAATCTGCGAAGGTTTTCCGAAAAAGGGGAGCTGGGACAGCAACGGTAGGGGGAATGACAACACGTTCGACGGACCGTAACTGGCACTGATGACATGTCTTGATATACCAGGCGATATCCTTGTCTAGTGATGGCCACCAGAATCTATCCGCAATTGTTCGGCGAGTGGCGTAAACGCCCTTGTGTCCAAGTTGGTCGTGCGTTTGGTGTAGGATGCGAATGCGATCCATTTCGAAAACCACTAACTGATGTCTTCCTGTCGTTTCCTTTCTCCATAGACGGTTACCACGCGTGAAAAACTGACGGGCACGTTTCGTCAAGCGATTTCGATCTCCGGTAAGGATAGTATTTGGGAATGAGAGGTTATCGAGGTAGAAATGGATGGTGCGAAGTTCGTTGTCGAGTCGTTCAGAGGTCTGTGTTGATGGGAGCGTGTTGTTTGGTGCGTCGGGATCCTTTTCCGCTGAAAAGACTGAAGTGCTGGCGCGAGGGTGCCATTCGTCGTCGATCTTCTTTGCCAACCATATTCCTGAGTCTAGCATCTCATCTATCCATTGTTCTACTTCTTCCGTCGTCTCTTGATCTTCATCGTCGTCTTCTGGAGTTCGTCGTCGACGAGACAAGCCATCGGGTCCTGCGTGTTTGGTCGCTGGTACGTGTCTGAGTCTGAAACTGAAAATGAGGATTCCCGCTATCCATCTATTTACAGCCGCGTTCGGTTGGATATCGGGGTTATTCAACATCCCTTTGATATACTTGGCGTCCACTTCGACGACGAGATTACGTACTCCGATAATCCAGACCTTCACTGCTTTTAAGGCTCGAAATACTCCGTACAATTCGATTTTGGCTTGGGAATATCGAGATTCCCGTTCATTCCATGTAATTGAGCCGAACCGTGAGGGATAGCGTTGTCCGTTGCGAACTTGAAGAAGAATCCACCCGCACGCGATTTGTGACGAATCGACTGCTAGAACGACTTCTTCTAGGGACGTGTAGTTGATAGGACTGATAGCGGGTGAGTTGACGACGGCAGTTTTGAGTGTTTCCATTGCAAGCTGTGCTTCGGGGGTCCATTCAAAGTGGCTGTTGTTACGAGTGAGGTTCGTGAGCGGACGGCTAATGGCTGCATAATCTTCGATCCAGTTTCGAACAGTCCCTGTCATTCCTAAAAACCCACGGACTTCGGTACGAGATGTACACGGAGGCCAGGTTTGGATTTTGGACACCTTCGACGAATCAGGGACACGTCCGTCGTAAGTACAACGCTGTCCAACGACGAGGACTTCTGGAACACAGAGAAAAAGTTTCGTGGCTGATACAGTTGCACCCGCATGCTTCAAGCGGTGCAAAACACGATTCGCGTCGACGCAGTGCTCCCAAACAAACCGTCGAATGCCCGAGTTTTCGGGGATGAGTTCATGTGAGCCATCGGGGAGCTCGTAACGTGAGCGAGGCCCGAGAACATTGACATCGTCTTGGAAATTGGGTGCGATCTCCGTTTCGGCTTGTAGGATGAAGGCGACATCATTTTGGAATACAGCTGGTGAGTCAGTCCATCCCTGGGGAAGGACTGTGAGTCGAAAAGTGCCGAGGGGAGTTTGGAACGTGGTGATATCGCGTGATTCCTCGGCGAGGGCGCGATGGTCGAAACCGACGAAGAGGTCCATCATGGAGTATATCGCGCGTCCAGCGCATTGCTCTGCGAAGAGTTCGACGTACAGCATCGTGGCGGCGTCTTTGACGGTGATGGAATTGAGCTGCTGGAGGTCGTGCACGATGCGCACGGCCCCGCTTTTCTTCGCGACGCAGAACCAGCGGGACTGATAGGAGGAGTTGGATGCCTCGTATACGCCGGATGCGATCTTCGATTTGATGAGTCTGACGACCTCGTCCTTGATGCCAGGAGGTATGGGAGGTTGGCGGTGAGTCCAGGGCGTGTGCTCGATGGTAGGGATGACGACTGGAGGGAAGTAGTCGTCGCGAAAGCGACCCTTCTCCGTTTCGTCCCAGGCGAGCGCAAGCTCGTTGTTCGTGAGGACGTGGGCGGCGAGCTTTCGTTCTTCTGGGAGGAGAAATTCGTTCTTGAAAATGCCGAGGTCGTCCATGCGGTTTTGGGTGAGGCGAGAACCGGGAGTGAAGGCCGGAGGGGTGGTTGAAAGGGGTGGAAGGGATGCAAGGGGATCCTCTGGAAAACGGCGGATGATGCGCGCGTGTGCTGGCATTGTCGTGGCGACAGGCCTTACCTTATTGGCGACCTTTTTGTAGGCGAAGGAGCGTCGGGTTGGGTCGACGTCGAAGTGCGCTTGGAGAAGGGATTCCGCGAAGAAGGAGTTGGAGAGGCGGGAAATGGGGGTAAAGGAAAGTTCTGGCAAGTTGGATGGAGGTGGTACTGGAACGGGCTTGTGTTTTGGTATACCGGGCGATGATGAGGCTGGTACTATACGGGTAGTACAGTCCTCCATACCTGGTGGTGTTGGTGGCAATGCGGTTGAGGCTGGGGATGTCGATGTAGAATAACTCGGAGACGGCGTATCTGGCGTTGTTGGTGGGGTAATGTACGTGCTGGGTGGAGGATATGCGGGTTTTGGTGGAGAAGGGTAACGATGACCATACGATGGAGTAGTCGCCAAAGCGGTTGGAGGGATTTGCGGAGTAGATAGAGCTGAGAATAGGGGATGTTTGATGGCATGGTAGATGTTAGTGGAGCTGGTTGGGGGAATTTGCGGAGTAGATAGAGCTAAGGATGGGAAGAGAGAAGGGAGAACCGAGGAGAGTACTGAGGCTGTTAATGCGAGGGAAGGATGGGGCCAAGGACGAGGAGAAGTTTTGACGGTGCGAGTATTGCTGGGATCCCGTGGGTCGTGAACTGCAACGTGAACGTCGTCAGTATCCTCGGCTTTGGAGAGACGAACCAAGCGTTGCCAAGGTCGTCCTAGGAGAAGACGGTAGGGGGCTTCTGGCACTACATATGCGTGGGCCCAGGTCTTGATACCTTCCACGTCTATCTCCAACATTTCCACACATCCGGCCATTTCTTGAGATCCTCCGTTCGCCGTTTGCATCCTCATGCGTACTTCTCGATTGATTGGCGCCTTGGTTTTCTTCCAGATGTCTTCCCGTATGACAACGATTTCAGAGCCTTCGTCGAGCAATCCGAGCTCGGAGTGGATACCGTTGAGCGTGACACGAATCTCTCGTAGGGGGGTCGCATGTTCCACTAGTCGTGGGGAGATGCTGTCGGAAGCGAGAGCGCTTGTCGATAGGGCTGTGGCAGGTGTAGGGACCCTGTGCGTTCGACAGTGGTCAACGGTTTCTTTTCGTAGTTCTGGGCTAATGGCGAGGAGGTCTGCCACGGTGATGTGGGGAACCGTTATGTCCAGAATACCTTTGAAGACACGCTGAACAGCGTCGGGAGCTGCAGCTTTGGACTCGTACGTGAAGGCGGGGGGCTTTTTCACTTCGGCTGTGGGAGCTTTGGAAGGAGGTTCGTTCGAGCGGGATGAAGCGAGTGGTATCGAGTCAGGCTTTGGGTCAGGTTCAGGGGTAGCGATTGCCTTTGC